CGCTTGATACGATTACCAGCAGATATACCCTGTAGTTGTCTAAAGAGTCGATCTAGCAGACTTTCCTACTATTTGATCTATTAATATAGAAGCTCAAGAACATTGTGTGTGGAACCGGAAATACGATCTAGCAAACAGTCAACGCTAAGATTAAAGCGCTTAAAATGTTTATTCAATAACAGAGGTAGTCTTTAAATATGAATCAGCTATGAGACACGAATGTCAGTTTAATGAGCAATCAAAGATCCACTTTGTCAGCTTGTCAGAGGTGAGCAAAACAAACAAAGAATGGGTAGAACAAGGCCTAGGCGACTGCATAATACTCGTTCACAGTTCAAATGTAACCAGATTATTACGCCTGAATGGGCTGACCACATATGGAGTAGATCTATTGATTCAACTATATATGATATATGATATATGATATATGATATATGATATATGATATATGATACATATGATGATATGATATATGATATATGATATATGATATATGATATATGATATATGATATATGATATATGATATATGATATATGATATATGTGTATGATGTATGATGTATGATATATGATGATGATATATATATGATATCTACGATATACATAAAATACGTGATACATAAGCAAATATTGTCCAAAGTTATGCATTTTAAGTTTGTCCTTCATCAGTCGAATATACCCTCTTTTCATTTAAGTGAGCGAGTATGAAAACAAATGGGCAAATAAGTGAAATACTTTCCTTTAATTGCTGCTGCTGCCGCCGCTGCTGTTGCTGCTTCACGGCTGTTTGTGTTGTATTTCGACCTGCTTTGCGTGTACTTGGCATAATTAAATATAAGCAGCTACAGCTGCTTGCAGCAGTGCTCGAATTGTTCTTGGATGTAAGCCAAATTCAAACAGACCATAAACCACACAAGAAGTTTCGTATTGATCTGTATGGCACAAGGTATAGGGTATATCGTACAAGGTATGTGTGGCAGCGGGCAGAGCAGATGCTATTCACATATTGTTCTCGCAATCTCATGCAAGAAATATTAATTGATTTTGGCATGAATTCACAAATTATTTCTGCAATTTAAAGCTCAAATCAAGTGTAAATTATGGCAGACATTAGACAATTTGCAAGATATGCAAAGAAACCACCATGGCGTATGAGCAATCAAATTGTAAAATTAACGCGACGACAGTGAATAAAATGAAGAACAGAAATTTAACAAATATATAACAAATGTTTAAATATATAGCAAGTGATTTTTTTTAAAGGGAACAAGCTGATGTCTTACTGATTAAAATGAATAATTATGTTCAACTGGCTAACTTGGCGTATGCGTAATGCGCGTCTTTTGTGCTTTCAATAACAATTGAGACGTGCATATGGTAGAAATTGACTTGAATTATTATATTATGTACATATATATACCTATATATAGATATAACTGATCAGTTTAGTTCCTCAGATTTCGAATATTTATTTAATCTGGATTATTAAAAACAAATTTGTTTTACCTAGAATTCGTTTGTTATTCTCGATTAATTAGATTTGAATCGGACTGTAAATCGCAAATAATTAAATCATATTTGTGTTTCAGCAGCTCAATCAGCAATTTATAATGAATTCAAATCGAATCATAATCGAAAATGTCAGAATCAATTTGCGTAGACGCCTCTCCCTCTCCCTCTCCCTCTCTCTCCTATCCTCCCTCTCTCTCTCCCCACTCGCACCGCAGACAAACGACTGTCAAATTGGTTTATTTATGATGGTCAATTAAAGCGCTTTGCAAGCCGCATAGCGCATGCCACTCCGATTCCAGCTATTGTCCAACAGCTAGCTACAGTGAAAGCTCGCTAAAGTGTTCCATTTTGTAAATATTTTCTGTTTCTTTACTATTGATACTTTCTGCTTTCCTTTTTAAATAAATACACTATAAAATTACTAACTTTGATAATTGCAGGGTATCAAACAGAGCTTTTATTTCAGAGAAAGCACAGCTGCTCATATATACCCTGTAATTTTAAGTAATGGAAAATATTACAGAGTAGAAGAACAAAGGTATTTCTATTCCTGAATGTATTGTCTGAACTGTCTAACGTTGAAGAAGTTGGCGCAGTGTGAGCTGTTCGTGTTGTCGAGCTTTCACTGTAGCTGCACTACGCAGTGAAATGTAATCAATGACACTGGGAAAGCACACAGCTCAATCCTATAGACTCGACCAACTCAGTCAGGTGACCACTGAAAGACTTAAACAGCGCGTTGCAAAATCGTGGGCCATAAATTTGTTCGCGCCTCGTTTATCTCAAGTGAGTCTATAAAAATCACAGCTTTGATTTGCGATTTGCGATTTTCGATTTTCGATTTGCGAATCGTGTGCCATATAACATCGGATGTGTCCCACTGTTCGGCTAGATTCCTTTGCTTAATTAATCACTAAAAATATGCCAAATTGTGACCATCATTATCTTATCTGTAGAGCAGAGTAATTGACATCAGTCAGCCGTCAGTCCGACGGGCAACTGTACCAAAACTCATTGTTGTATATGAGAAGAGCACCTATGGGGAGTGACTGACTGGAAGATACCTGTGCAAAGGGGGAAAATTTATGTGTGTAAATAAAACTATGGGAATGAGAGCATGACTGATGATTGATAGACTCATTCATTGAATGGTTGACATTATAACTGACTTATGATTGGCATACTAACTGGTTGACTGATTGACTTACTGATGTTTGACTGGTTAACTGATTGACTGACTCCCTTACTTATACTTGACAGACTAGAAGATTGACTGATTGGCTTACGAACTGACTGATGATTGACTTACTAATTGGTTGTCTGATTGATTGATGATGTGACTGATAAACAACCTGATGATTGATTGACTGGCTTGCTAATTGACGCACTAGCTTATTGGTTGGTTGACTACTGATTGATCAATTGAACAATCAATTGATTGACCTGCTGATTGACAGCTTCCGACTTACTAATTGATTCACATGTAGACTAACAGTTTCGCTGACTCACTTACTGTCAAAATGATTGACTGGATTTTTTGGTTGATTGACTAACAAACTATAAAGAAGAACTATAAAAAGAAGGTAATGGACTTTTAGAACAGGAAATTCTATTTGTACTTCCATCGTCCACATTTCCCTGATAGTCGAGCAAGCCCTCTTTACTCCACTCTTGTGCAGAGTATGAAAGAGATATCCGTCGCGTGTTCATAACTAGAATTTTCCTCTTACGCGAGCTACTTTACGAGCCCAAAGCCTTTTATCTGACTTCATTAAAAGCATTATAATAATATTCTAAATTTAGTTAATACTTTAATAAACAATATCAAGTAATTTTAGACTAACGAAAAGTTCTTGTTGTAGCAGTGCATTGAAAATAAAATATGAGAATTCGATTTTAGTCATTTTATTTTAATAAAAATACTAAGAATTTATATCTCATATTATATATAAGAAAAATACTAAGAATTTATATATATTTATTATTTGTTTTTTCTTATCTCTAAAGAGAATTTCATGAACAAATTTAAACACTTCAGGAATTGTTTTCAGAATTTTTAATGTCAACACTGAAAAAAACTTCCTCAATTTCGCGCTGTTTCTATGTTTTGAATGATGCGAAAGTATTTTAAAAGATTTGCACATTTCTAGTTCGGCAATCGTAAGTCGTAAATCTGTCCACAAAGCAGATATATATATAAAATATAGTTTCCTCCAATACGTTCCGCATGGAGCTGTCAGAGACTTATTCGATATGACGACTGCTGTCACAATGCTTGAGATACTAACTTTTATTTGCGCCTAATTTTGATTACTTTATTATATTCTGTCTGCGTTCAACCTGTCAATCAGTCCATCAATCAGCTAGCCTTATCTATCTGTTCGAGTAGTCATCAGTGGCGACTCATGTGGAGCTGCCTGCAAAATAATTTGTACTTTGCCTGGAATTTAATTTATAACTTTATTTTAAGCTCTTACCCATTGCGCTCTACTACTCGATTCTCATTAATTTCTTATAGTACTTAAGGTAAAGAAATTGGTGGACAGATGAGCTGATCTCTGAATATAACCTGCTCACTCTCTCTCTCTCTCTGTCTTTCTTTCTTTATATTTCTCTCTCTCTCTCTCTCTCTTAATAGAATATTGACTATAGCAAATAACATATATAACATATAGTAAATAACATATATCTATGTTGAAGATATATTTTTTTTTCTCACCTGGACGCACCTATACGCAATTGTCTTAGTGATTTTCTGCAGTCACATTTGGAACACGAAATCACACACACAAACGCACAGAGAGTGAACGAGTTGTTATTGTTTAGCCTTAAGCAGATCGGACATTATGTCGAGATAACATTGACGCTTCTGTTGGCGGCAATAAAACGCGGCCAGAATTATGAATTTGATTGCGGAATGCATTTGGCTTGTTATTTATGACAGAAATAATGCATAAACGACGCAATTTACGAAGTGTAAACAGACTTTGTTTATTTTCATTAAAAAATACGAATTTATTGTAAGATGTAATATCTGTTTTCTCAATTCGTTGCCAAAGTAATAATGTCGTGAACGACCGAGCGCAACAAGTAAACTGAATAAACTGAAAAGTAAATAGCAACAGGTCCCTCAGCATCCCAAGCAGAGCGCATGCTCAGTGCAGTGCAAATGTATTCTAAGCGACAATTGTAATATTGAATAAATATGTGAGAAACATCAATTAATAAATAACAATTCACATTACTCTTAGTTAGTTGCATGTAAAGAGGTTATTTATATACTCAAGTCAGAAAAGCCTTGCAGCGTTTTCAAATTCATCCAATTTGGCGCCTAAAATCCGATTGCACAGCGTTGCCACAAGAATATTGCTGCACGCTGGTTGGCAACAATAGCAACTGAGTGGCAACGCTGTATGCACACAATGAAGCGTGTGCGTTGTGCGCGTCGTCTTAGCGCGCATTCAAATTTCATTTGAAATTTATCAAGTTCACTTTGTAAATCCATTTATGATATATTGTAAAATAACAACGATTCTATAAAATAAATAATGTCGAACTGCTTGGGTTTCAATAAAGAAAGCGGTTATTTGGAAGGCTTAGTGCGTGGCTTTAAAAACAGTTTATTAAAGCAGTCCGACTATCTAAATCTAACAGAATGCGAAACCCTGGAGGATCTAGTGCTGAATATACAAAACACAGACTATGGCCAACTACAAGGCCACGAGGATGAGACATTGGACGTGGAAGTGATTGAGAAGTGCTTGCGTGACCGTATTGTGGTCGAATACAATTATATTCGGGAACACTCGATGGAACCTTTGACCTCATTCCTCGAATACATCCGATATGAGCACATGATTGATAATGTTGCACTGCTGATGACCGGTATGAGCAATCATCACAATATGAGTCAACTGCTGCCCATGTGCCATCCCCTGGGACTCTTCGACCAACTGGAGGCCATCGAGGTGGCGAGCAACATAGACGAGCTGTACAGCGCGGTACTGATCGATACTCCGTTGATCAACTTCATCGCCAAGGACTTCGATAGATCAGCAATGCATCACACAGATATGGAGATCCAGCGTGGTCACATGTTCAAAGCCTATCTGGAGGACTTTTACAGGTTCTGCAAGAAAGTTGGCGGCACCACGGCCGATGTCATGGGCAATCTCTTAAACTTCCAAGCAGATCGCCGCATCATTTCAGTTACTGTGAACTCGCTGGAAATGCATATGGAGTCGCTCATGCGTCTTAGCTTATACCCGAACTGTAGCTCCATGTGCGATCTAACTAAAAGCGCATTAGCCATCAGCATGGACGAGGAGGCAGTGCATTCAATTCTCCACCGAAACTTGCAGTATACCAACGTCCTGGTGAACATTGAGAGGGATATGGAAAATCTGATCACCCTCGAGGATCGCCTCCTCGCGATGGAGGCCAAGCTGCATGTAGACTCATTTTTGCACCAGTTTCACTACGGCATCTTCTACTCCTATCTCAAACTGAAGGAGCTCGAGTGCCGCAACATCGTCTGGATAGCCGAATGCATTTCCCAGCAGCAGAACGATAAGGTCAATGCCTATATCCCTATACCGATTCACTGATTTAACAACTTTTACATTAATTATATATATATTGTCAATCTGCATTATTGCTAATATATATTATTAACTGTGGCATCGGTAACTTTAATTACGGGAGCTTAAGGCTATATATTGTCTGGAAGTATATATATATATTACCATTTATATATTAACTTAATATATATATAAATAATAAGCAATTAAATAATTGTTTATATATTAACATTTCTCAATCTGAGCAATTATAATTTTTTCCGAAGTTTTTTATCATTTAAAAATCGACATTTTTTTTTTTAAAGTTAGCCTATTAACACTTAATACTCAGATTAAATTAAATTAAAGATGAGTTATATAAAGGCAAATGTTTTAGTTTTAGATACAAATTCTTATAAAAAATAAATAAGGCTTAGGCAGGAAGAATGTATTCAAAATAAAAAATATTTGTATATAGATAGAAACAGAAAATAAAAATAAAGAGCTTTACAACTTTAATATTTAATAAAAAATAAACTTCAAATAAAAATTATTAAACTTAAAACAAAATAAAAATTATCTCAAAAATGAATATAAATGTCAAAATATAATAAAATTTAAATTTTTCATATTATTTTATTACAATTCCTAAATTAAATTAAGATACAATTACTTTAGTCAATAGAAAAGAAAAAAAATAAAAATAAAATTAAAAAAATACAAATTAAAATTGTTGAAACTATAAATATTTAATAAATAATATTAATGTTTTTATATAATATTGCAAAAAAAATGTATACAATTTTTTACATAATAATGTAAACAAAAACAGTAAATATTAAAAAGATATAGATATATACAAGATGTAGTTTAAGAAATAGCAACAATTTAAAAGGATTCGTCTGGAAAAGAAATTAAAATAGGGTTTACCCTTTTTAGTTACTATTAATAGTTAACTAATAAGACAAATGCATAAATATATATTTGAAAATAATAATTAAGTTTAAAGTTTTCGCTCTTCCTCTTTCTTTTCTGTCCACTTTTGTTGTCAATTTCCCCAAGTCTAGCGACAAAAATAAATATAAAAAAAATCAGCTGAGTCGCGAAACACTGAGACTGCGGCGAACATTTGAGGCAGCAGGTTCTGGGTTTTCTTTATTTTTTTGCAAAATTCAGTTTGAATTCGTGATTCTAGCTCGCTAGTTGTGCCAAGATATAACAACAACCTAACCTAACCGAATGAATCATCTTCGTTTTGTAGTTGCTCTATACGAATGTACGTAAATAAACCTGCATACATACATACATACATGTGTACATACATTCATGCATATCTTTTTGTTTTCCACTTCGTATCTGCAATTGTGTGAGTGTGTTCGACTTTTATCAACAACAAAAAAAAACAATTTATTTGAAGCTCAATATTATATAGCTGTAATAAGTCTGTAAATGATACGTGTACCATATGCACATATATAAATACAGATAAAGTTTCGCCTTAGCCAGAATACATATATATCAATTGTATATAGATGCATGTGTGTGTGTGTGTGCAGGCAAAGGCAACGCTTTTCCGCATTTTTCCTGCAAGTTCAAATTTCCTGTTCTTGCTTTAGCCTTGGCCCCGCTCACCTCCCCTCCCCTACTCTACCCTACTTCTCACCCATTGAGTCCGTTCTGGATGCTAGCGCATTCTTATTGGTTCCTTTCCTCTCAATACTTGTAAATCTCGTTTGCCATTTCGCTACAACAGGAAATTGGCCAAAGCTAATTGTACATTAAATTCGGCGAGTTAACTGGGAATTAGTATAAACAGAAAAATAACTAATATCGATTTGAAAAAAATTAATAAATTGCCACATTTAAAATTTATAAATCTAAAATTGAATATATTTTAAATACTTTATTTGAGTCGCTGTTAATTGAAAATAATCTATGTGGCTCTTACAATTCCCGCTATTTATGTCAGTGCTCCAGCAGATATGCGTTGCTGTTCCCATTCAATCTCGCAATCACAATCTCAATACGACAGCTAGCAAAGCCATTCCATAACCATTATTTGCGCCTTTCCGAAATATAACAACGAAGTATTGTATTTTATATACGTACACACCATACTGGCATGTGTGTGCGTTTGTGTGTGCAAAGGTATGTGTGGACTAGCACGAACGAACGGCTTATATGTACGTATATACGAATGTACGTATGTATGTATGTAGTGATGTATGTTACGTTTAGCAAGTATATAGTTTGTTTTTGTAGGCTTTCGTTGCTTTTGAATTTTTGAGTTTCGCAGTATTGAAATCGTGGTGGTGGTTGTTGGTTGAAATTCTGTTCTGTTTCCTCTTCATATTGCCGAGAGAGTAAGCTGGCTCTCGCGCTCTTGTCGTGTGCGTGCGTGTGTGTGTGTGTGTGAGTCTCTCTGTGCGTGTGTGTGTGTTTTGTTGTTCGGCAAGGTGTTTGCGTTGCTGTGTTGAAAAATAGTTAAGTAAAGTTATTATTAAAAACAACCGTGAGAGCAGCTGAATTGAAACTCGGAATTTTACGCAACGATACAGCTGATTGGAATTGTCAGTGTCAATTAATAATTATAAATATATTGCTCGTGTTATGTGAAGCAGTCAACGTTTGGTTTGTTAAATGTAATTAACGTTTTTCTTATATTCTCTTTTTCTTGAAAAATTCTCAACATAATAAGCGTAAATTTGTGCCATGTGATAGTGTGTGTGTGTGTGTGTGTGAGTGTGTATGTGTGTGTGGGTCTGTGTCTGTTAAGTATATGAGAGAAAGACAACGCAGCGCTCTCTGGATTTTCGTGCGCTAGTTGCGCTCTCCTGCACTCTCTCTCTCTCTCTCTGTCGTTTTATATCTTTTCCACATGACAGTGGGGCATAGAAAATTTGAATTAAATAGTTATTATTATTGTGCACACACGTTGTTTTCCAACAAGCTTCAAACTATAAGTTTCGAAATCAATGTCAAAAATGATGAGCATTTCAAACAGTGTTGAATAACAATTGAGTTTAATTGGCAAATATCAACCGGCTTTTAATAAGCTTGTGACCACTGTATGTCTCTCAATCTTATGTGATTTTCGGACAGCTGGAAAATTACTCAGCTTTAGCTCCACAAATTGTGATTTGAGTTTCGAATGCAGCTATCGGGTTCTCCCAGCTGAACATCCCCTTCCATCTTTAAAAATCTATATGTATATGCGACATCTCAGATTCAATCAAAACTAAATAGAGGTTTTTTTTCAGTCATTGTGTTTCAGTATCAGCAGCTTCTTTGAATATCATTACGCATCTATCTCGGGTGCTCAAGTCTCATTTATTTTTATTATACATATATATTATATATATATATAATATGTATCTGTGTATTTGTATATAAATAATCGAATTTGAACGCAGTTATAAACATAATAGCGCTTCGGTTCGAATAAAGTGACGAAATCTTTGTACCCCAAGTGCTACACGGGCTCGTAATCGTATTTGGCATGTTTATTAACATTTTAAAATCGTTTACTCACTATCTCTAAATTTAGTTGATGTGTGTGTGTGTGTTGTGTGTATGTGTGCATGAGAGTTAACGTGTATATGCTGTGTGTGCTTCTGTGTGTGTGTGTGGGTTCACGTTTATTCTTTTTACCTTCCTTTTGTCGTTATATTTCGTATTGAAATTTGTAATCAAAATCGATAAAAATATATATTTATTTGCCTATTTAGATTTCGTGGTATTTGTCAGTTGAGAACGTTCCGCATGTATATTTATATACCTATGAGTATTATTACGGGCTTTCCGAAGGTTATTTCCATGGGTCCTCAATGGATCTTGGAGAAAGAAAATCCGTTTTAAAAAAACCTAAATACAAAATAATGAGATGAACTGACAGTTTTTTCGATATATTTGTTTTTCTGTTGTTTTATTATATTTAAGTGGTTTCAAAATCTGGTTTAGTATGTTTTTTCTAAATATTCCAAGCAGAAGTGAAGTTTTTAGAAAACATAATTTTTGTGTGTTTGAAAATTGGTCTTTTTCAATTTCTTAAGTTTATCGTTGCATCAATTAGTTGAATATAACTAATTTTCGTACTCTGGCTCTACTTTTTACTAGAGTTTTACGTAATCCGCTAAGAGAAATAGAAAAGTCGCATCGATGTTGATGCCGCGGTATTCCGAGCAGGAAAGCCACAGCGAGAAGACTTTTGGTGGTAAGCACGGCCACGCCTCCACCACAGTGGCCGCCCATACGAAAATGCGTTTGATTAGCAAAGTGGAACACAATATGCGCCAGCAGCAGCAGCAAAAGCAACAAAATCAAAATCAAGGCCAAATTCAAGGCCAGAATCAAAGCCAAAATCAAGGCCAGAATCAAAGCATCAACAAGCTAATCAATACAGCTGCCACAGGCAATGGTCTGGTGGGCGATGTGGATGAGCTATTGATGCCAATGCGTATCAAGAGCGATACCATGTCCAATGGCAGTGGCAGTGGCAGTGGCAGTGGTAGTGGCAGTGGCAATGGCGGCAAGGAGTCGAGCTCGAGACCGGAGCGCAACCTGTGGAGCCGTGCTGAAATGCTCGAGATGCTGAACATAATGCAACAAATGAACGCCTTGGAGCAGCTCAACGATCGGAATGTGAAGAGCGAGCACGTTTTCCGTCAGATCGAAGAGGTGATGCGCAGCAAGGGCTATGTTAAGAAGTCAAGCATACAGATCTGGACCAAATGGAAATTCCTCAAGTCCACATACAACACAACAACGCGGCACGGCAATGGCATACCCAAGGTCGTTCCAGAGGAGGTGTACCGCGTACTTTGCCGCATGCTGCGCGAGCATGCGAGTGCGAATAGCATTGGCAGTGGCATAAGCAGTGAATGTGGCAACTCCAGGGACAGCTCCAATGCGGAGCTGGCCAAGACAATGCCCAACGATGACGAGGTCAAGGAGGAGCTGGGCGTGGAGCATCCCATATTTGGATTTCGTTTGGGTCTAATCAAGCCGGAACCCCTGGATACGGGTAAGAAATTCAGCAGAATTCTGAATTGATTCAAATATCAAATGCTATACTGACGCGCTCATACTTCTAAAATATTTAATGAATCAGGTTACGAGACGATGCCAAACCATCCCAACTCGAGTGAGGAGCTTAAAAGCGCGGACTTTTTACAAATGCATGACCAGACGCAGGCGCTGGAGCACATGCCTTTCACGGTCAATGTGAAGCACGAGCCTGAAATGGATTTGGGCATGGATAGCACAAATACGCCGCCGCCAACGGCGCCGACGTCGCCCTCGCCACCGCCAAGTAGCGTAGAACCACGAGACCTGGACGATTTGTCAGCAAGCAAATCACAGTCGCTGTCCCTGCCGCCGCTGCGCGTTGCCGCGTTTGCAAATGACACACAGCCAATTGTCACATCCACTCCCACGCATGGTATACTTCAGATTGAACGACCTGTCGGTCCGCTTGCCAAGCCGGCCGTGAGCGGTGGCCCCGGCCGGGGCAATCGCAGCGTGCCGTTGCATAGCACCAGTAGCATTAACTTCGTGCATCCCACCACCAAATTGATGCTGCCCCGCAAGCAGCCACCGCTGCGAATTCCCCGAGAGATCAGTGTGCAGCCGGCAAATTTACGACCGCTGAGACCTGCACCTGCGCCTGCGCGCGATACGGGATATTTGCTGCGTCCGGATCGTATGAGCTCTGATCTGGCACAGTCCATATCGCCGCCACAGTCGCCTTCGCCGCCCATGCACATCCAGCCTGTGTCGAAATATTCCATGCCATATGCCTCAACCAGCAGGCAGGCGCAGTTGCTCAGCGAACAGCAGCAGCAGCAGCAGCAGCAGCAGCAGCAGCCTCGAAAGCGGCGTCTTCAATTCGCTCAGCAGCCCCCGCCTGTGCCCGTTAAGCTGCAGCGCAGCTCCACGCTCTTCGAAAACAACAAACAGCAAAGCAACATCCGCAATGAGGATGCATCCGCGGCGGAGGAGCAGAAGAGTCAAAACCTAGCTGAGCAGGCGAAACGCCGCAAAGAGCAACAGGAGGAGGACTTCAAGAAGGAGCTTAGCAAGGTGGCCAATGCCATGCTGGTGGCCCAGAAAGAGATGCTGCAAAATTTTTTCCAGCAGCAAAAACTGTTTGCACGTCGCGAACATGAATTCCAGCTGAAGCAGGATAATTTGGTGATGAGTGCGCTGCGCAAACAAACGGATACGCTGCTTCGGACGGCCAAGAACCTAATGCGGTCTGAGCAGGAGGAGGTGGTAAAATGTACAAAGTCCGATAAAGTTCAGGATCAGCAGCAACAGGTAGAACCGGAATTCACGTCGAACAGCTGCCTATTGCTGAAGCCAGATAAGGAGCTACAGGAGGAGTTCCAGAAGCTGGAGGAAGAAGAAACGGAGGACGAAGAGGACAAAGAGGAGGAGGAGCTCGAACAGTACGAAGAGGAAACACAGGAAAGCGAAGAGTGCAATGAGCACGAAGCAGCCTTGGAATCGTCTGTTAACACAGTCAGCGAATCGTCCTCCAATCAAAGCAGCAGTTCGAGCGACGCACAAATCTGTTAATATATTAATCCTAGTATCAAGTATTATCACAAGAATAGAGAACTATAATATTGTCATTCCTAATGTCCAAAACCAGAAACATTTCCAAACACACATTCCTTAATTTTTGAAAAACAAAAACAAAAAAACAAACAATTAGGCATATATATATTATATATAGTATATATATATATATATATACATATTCCTAGAGCAAAGCCCACATTGTTAAAAGACTTGATTATATTTAAGCATTGTTTGTGCTATTAAATCTATTGAAACATCAAAATATACGCATACATAGTGATATTTAAGCAATATCGAAATCGAAGCAGATTTGGAAACCGTGTCATTTCTGAATATATGAAATTATTTAATCTTATTTTTCATACAATTGGTTGAACGTTGTAAATATATATGTATATATATACACACAAATATATATTTAGTGCAAAAATTATAAAGTTCTGCAATGTCGGCTTCCATTTCTGCATTTCGCACACCTCAATGCACTCAAAAGCTCAAGAATCAATTCTCAATTTCCAATTTTCAATTTTCTTAACAAGAATTGTATTTAGTATTGCATTATTTGAAACAATATATTCATGAATTAAGAATGAAACGAAATATGAAAACGCATAAGAAACTAGCGAGAAATCAATTGTTCTTATTAGCTATATATATATTCTTTCAAAAATTTGTTTAAACTAAATACTACATATTAACTAGCACTAGCTTAAAATGTGTATGTGTATGTTTCACTAAACTAGTTGTGTTTAGTTGTTGCACAAGATTAAACGCCTAAAGCATAACTATTATAATTATATTTATAATTATTAGTTGCTAGTTGCTTTTTAGTTAGTTTTTTTTTGTATTTTACAATTACAATTAGAGGCCCCCCTATAATGTTCACCCCTCCCAAACGATTGCCCCAACGACTGCAATGATCCACACTGCCTATTTATATATATATATTATATACATTTAGTCAGGCCGATAGATGGGCGTCTTGGGTATAAATTCAATTAATATAACATACTCCATCATGGAATTGGAATCACATTGTTGCTTATGTAAACGCCAGTGCAGGCCGAGCTTATGATATAAATGACTATTTTCCCACTCGAGCAGCTTATCCAGTGTCAATTGTGTCTGCAAACAAGTAACAGGAAAATAATTAATGTCCATTGGCACCATCTAAAGAAGTATGAAAATCAAGCTTATATCTTACGCGTTTGCTCAAACATATGACCGGCCAGAGGGAACAGCCCAGAGTGCAGCAGCAACAAACGCAGCCACAAAAGAGCCACTTGACATTCAGGGGCAGGGTCTTCTTCAATATGCCATTGATGCGACCGATGGTCGCTTTGAATTCCTCCGGCGCAACGCGCGATAGCAAACCGCAGGGAAATTCGATATTGAAGCGATTGCTGAGGCCAAAGCTGTAATGCAAGAAAGAAGAAATTCGTATAGACAATTCTCACCTAGTTTATATTTATCTATTTCAGTTATGCAACCAATCAGTCAGTCAATTATTGACAACTTGGCGCCAAATAGCACAAGGTCAAACGCATGAGCGCTGTGCGCCTGCTATCAATGTAAACAAAATAAACACGAGCCCGAAAACAGTTTTTGTAGGTATCAAGAGCCTTGAGCTACATTGAGACTTCATGTATTATGTATGTACGAATAATGTACATATATATTAATATATATACTCTTATACTCTTTATTTCTGTTTACTTACACCGTCATATTGCCCGCGCCTCGTATGATAATTGGTTCGGCCACTGGCATCACTGTCTGATCCTGGAAATGCTCCAAGTCATCCAGTTGCTCATCCTCGTAGATGGCATCGAAATCGGAAAAGGACATCGCTCTTGCTTTAGTTGAATGTTGTTAATATTTACGTTGATCGACTGTTGGCTCCGGTGCTCTCTGCGTCACAGAGAAACTGTTTGCAACGCTTGCAAGGAGATCAGCACATTTTTCATTTGATTAGTAGTTGCGTAAATTGTGATTGTATGAGTGCTACAGTTGGCGTTCAAATAAAATCTCAGTCTGAGTGTTGGGCCTTCGGTATGATTGTTGTTCGCTCGAGACTCTAAATGAACGCAGCTGTCTTTGTTGTTACTGTTATACGGCTATTGTTGTTGTTGTTGCCGTTGATGATGTAGCTGGCGCTGGCGCTGCTTCCGCCATACGCATTGACGTTAACTGCGCTGTGGCATGGACTGATATGAGCTGTGACGTTGACTTCCTTAATTGCGTTGCATTACAAAAAGAAGGCACACAACTGGAGTATATGTATTATAAAATTTAACACTAAACAATAATCGCGTTGATATACATGTGTATGCGTATATGTAAGTAAATGTGCGTGTGTGCGATTCCTCCAGCAATTTTCTGAAGGTTGTGCAACACTGGCGTCCGTCCGCTTTTGTTATTGTTGTTGTTGCTGGTGTTCCTGTAGTGGGGGCCAAAGCAATGTGCATTCGTTTTTGTTTGCTGCGTATTTCGCAATCACTTTTTCACCTATTGCTTACAATTTTGATCTAAAATCGTACACGTTTTAATCGCATAGATTTATTTTCATCACTTTCTAGTAATAAGACTAATTTAAAATATTTGGGCAATTATTTTTTTACACTTTTGTGTTTTGTAATAATGAAAATAAGTTCTCTGCTTAACATTTGTTGTTGCGAGACGACCAGCTGGCAGCTGTTTACGAATTAGGGTTGCCCAACCGTCTCGAAAAGCGAACAATCTCACATTCAAACATGGGAATGACCAGCGGGTTAATATTGATTTATTAATTAGCTATATTAATAAATAATTAAAGTGTATAGTTATATATAATTATAATATATATGGTATATTGATACAGCATATATAAGCGTATGTTCTAACTAATAATAAGAAGTTATATTGTGCACAAATTCGACAGATTAGCAAACATCAATTACTCTGCAGCAATAACAAAAGCATTAATGTAAATATAAAATGACAAGGCATATTTTGTGTGTGTAGGGATCATCCTTCTCCTACTTCTTTTTTGATGCACTCGGGCTGGTCGACTGAAAGACCGAGGAGGCGGACATCAGATTCTCAATATATTGACCAAGGACTTGATTTTCCGAACGTAATTTTAGATTCTCTTCCTTGACAGAGTCCACGCGTTGCGACAAATCGTCCAGCGTATTTTGTAATTCCAGCACCTGCGTAATCAAACGAGATTTCTCCTGTATGTCATCCGGTCCCACGTCAAGGGTGTCCAGCGAATTATGAGATGAATCTGGAGTCGAGCTATGATTGGTAAATGACGACCGCAGCGAGTCCATAGAGCGGCCATTCGCAATGTTTTGCGTTGTCGAGGGTTCATCGTCGTTAATAATAACTGTAACAACCAATAAAATTGTTACTCTTCCCACAGCCGGACGCGCCCAACTTGTTCCACATCCACATCAATCCAATGTACATACCCTGCGGATCTTCGTCAATCGCCATTATGTTATCATCGTTGTTAATTATTGACATGCTGTATAATGTGCTAGCAATGGGTCAACTATCAATCAAATTTATATTTTTTTATTTTATTAAAAGAAATTACACGGAATACTAAACTACCACTTTTTGGTTAAAAAATGCGCTGTTTCACACTAGCTTTCAATCATTTTACAACACTAACCTATTTAATTAAGATTTGTAAGAAGAAGAAAAAACAGTTCCTCCATAAGAAGGTAAAAGTTTAAAAATAAAATTATGATATTGACACTAATATAATATTAATTTTAATTTGACGTGGGTTATATATTCAAATTTGGTTCATTAGTATTTGTGTAGTGGTTCTATTGTGCATATCGCTGATTAAAAGCATAAACAACTGTTGCTGCAGTTAAACGTTCTGAAGTTCCGTTAGATGAATAACCTTCAGTGATAAAATGAAATGTAAGTTTATCCTATAGTAAAAGTTGAGTTCAAAGCAATATTCAATCAAAATAAATTAAAACTATATTTACAATCAACTTTATATGTTGATTGTTTTAAAAATAACCGACGTGAGACTTACTGCAGGGTTGCCACCTGGGGAGCATTCGATCGACGAATTAAAATACACACGCATGCTTTTTGCCATTATAGTTTTTAACGTTGAACTGAAAACAGGTCGTTTAGTAACTAACTTGAAAACTGAAAACTATACAGTTGTGCTTAACTTTAAAACACTGTCCTGATAAAGTGCAAAAGAGTGCACATCTATTTACATATATATGTACATATATATTTGAAGTGTTGCTCTATGGTTGAAGAATAGTTAGCATTTGCGCAAAGTATATAAATATACATTGCCGTAGAGCTGAACAAAAACTTTGTAAATTGTCTACAACTAAGAATAGAGGTAATGTTTATATTTTATCTAAGTGTTGACATTTTCAATCTTAACTTTTTCCAATTGTTTTAGTTCTCCAAGTTGTTGCCAGCCAAATCAACGGGTAAAACAGTTTCTCCGACTTAAACTTAACTCCACTTTAAAAGGTAATCTTTTATTTAAGTTTTACATCCTATAAATTAAAAACTAAATGCAAAATTTAACTATGCTTTTGGCATAAGTAAAGCCCAGATAAGGTATGTACATATGTACATATGTATATATGGCATTGGCATCAGCATAGTCATAGTCATAGACATACGTAACAACTGTAAATTGAAAACCTTTAAGCAAAATATGATAAAGATGCAGTTTACGTAGTTATAAATCCGGCGCGTGGGCTTGGGGCATTAGCAAATGTTGTAAATGTTTTCTCAGCAAATATCTCTATGGAGCATACCAACAATTTATACCAATCTTGTTCAATATAAGTGCTGCCAACTTTGTTTAAAATATGCGTTGTCGAACGAGCGCGAAAATTAACGGCGTCTAATTATTTATTAAAGCTATCAATTTACTATAAATATGTTTAAGTTTTAAAAATAATTGAATTCTGCTTGATTGTTAACAGATTTCAATCATTTCAGGAAAAAACATTTGCTGTTCTAACTGAAAAGATTTTTAAATCGAGCAACAGTGTGGAACTGCCATATTTGGCAAATAAAATACTTCAGCACTAAAAATCCATAATTAAATACTAACATTTGCAAAACAGTTAGCGCGTGATAATATTTAATATATACATAATCAACAGGATATATTTTAAATGTTGTGCCAAATGTGAAAAGTTTTAAGCTCAAATAAATATTTTAGCAAAAGAATATACATATTTAGCTAAAGCAAATAATTAAACGCGAAAAAAAATACCAAATGTGTAGGCAAAGGTGTAGTGATTGAATAAAATGCCAAAACTTGTGCGGCAACGTACGAATTGTCTTGCCTGCAGTTGAAAAGTGTAAAAAAGACGCCATTTGAGTTGACTTTAAACAAAAGTTTTGAAATAAACAGCCAAATATCAGTGTTGGTGCTTCCAATCAAAGAGAAACCTTTAAGTTAAAAAACTAAAAATTAGAAATAATAATGTTGCCCGCCAATGTGGGCACTGCAAATCCCAAACGAGAAGTGCCCAAGACGATGTCGCCCGTAAAATCATTCAGTAACAAAGCAACGGGCACGGTCAAGCAGCCCGAGGAGATGCGTTTCGTGCCCATTGCCCCAAAGCCAGCCAAACCCTGTAATATATCAATTAACAACTATAGCAACAAAAACAACTGCAACAACAACAATACTTACAATTTTAACAATAAAATTAGTAAAAATATTAACAATAATGCATCGCCTGCTATTAAAACGAAATTAATGCCAATAAATATGGTACAGAAGCCGTTCAAAACAAATTTTAATCACAATACTAATTTAACAGCACCAGTGCCGCCCCTCATACAACTGGTTAGCACTGGAACCAGTGGGAATGCCAGTTCGCTACTCTCCATATTGACGCCCAAAACTCTGCTCAATCCCACTTGCACCAAGACCAATGTGCAGGCTTTAGTACCCACACAAGCTCGTCCACAGTCACAGCCACCGCCGCCTGTGTTCATACGATCTGGTACCACTGTGACTACCATTCCAATGCAGCAACAGCAGCTCAAGCAGCAGCAGCAGCAGCTCAAACAGCAGCAGCAGCAGCTTAAGCTGCAGCAGCAGCAACTCAAGCAGCAGCAGCAGGAGTATAAGCTTCATCAGCAGCAGAAGCAATACCAGAAGCAGCAGCATAAGCTGCAGCAACAGCAGAAGCTGCAGCAGCAGCAACAGCAGCAGCAACAGAAGCAACAACAACAACAACTACTACTACAACAACAGCAGCAACTACAACAACAGCTACAACAACAACAGTTACAACAACAACAGCTACAACAACAACTACAACTGCAACAGCAACAACAACAACAACTGCAACAACAGCAAGATGGTGCCATTCCCAATAGCCAGTGTCAATCATCAGTAACATCTGCAGTCTCTACTCAGACGCAATTGATAAATATGGTGGCTGCCAAAGGTTCGCTCAAAACTGGTAAGTTACATTTTAGCACTTATGTAAGGTAGATTAAGATTTGAAGTTCGATCGTCATATAGCTTAACTCAATGTATGCAATTGTTTGTGTTGTCTTCTATGCTGTTGCTGCCGCTGCTGCTTCGTTCCGATTCGATTTCGGTTTTGCCTTTCAATCCATTTCATTTGCTGCGAGTCGCTCATTTAGTTTGTTGTCGCTGGCCGCGTTGAAATAAATTTCTGTGTGCATATGTGTGTATGTGTGTGTGTGCGAGTGTGTGTAGTCTTTTAATATTACTATTATACACATATTACTACTTGTTGTTGTTGCTATTATCATTGTAGCTATCTACTTAACCAGCGTTGCTGCTCTCACTTAACGACTTTACAATTTTGTTTCTCTGTTTCATAATATTAATTAGTTTGAGTACGAAAATAAGATTCATGTGGCTATTTTCAGATTTGTATAGCTCACGTTTTTCATTATATGTTATTGTTGTGGCTGTTGCTTTTGCTGTTTTTATTAAATCGATTGACAAATGATTTAACTGAAATTCGTTTTCTGGTTTTAAGCTGATGTCACAAACTTTTATGTGGCAGTTTTTTTTTTGATGAGGCTAAAAGTCACTTGTAAATATAATACTTAAATTGTTTCATTTTGCTGCTGTTGTTCTTGTTCTGTTTCTTCTTGTTATTGTTGTTGGTATTTTTTATCAACGTTATGTGTGTTCGACATGAATGTGTTTATATATACATATATGTATATATATATGCAAAAGTTGCGGGCGGGCGTGCACATCGTCTATGACGATGATCAGGTTTTTGCAGCTGCAGCTGCCCCAAGCGAGCGAGTGAAGAAATCATAAAATTTGTATATTGTATGAGAAAAGTGCAGCGAGGACAACGCTTAAAACTTTCAAATTTCAACTTATTTTAACAAATATTTGGATGCCTTGCCTTTCTCAAGTGACTCAACATTATCAAAATCACCAACAACAACAACAACCAAAAACAATAATTTGTATCACAGTATATAAACTGATATATATATGTATATATATATTTATATTTATATGTATATATATTTATAATATATTATATTATATATTTATGTGTACATATATATTTATATATATTGCGTATGCAAGCAAACGTAAACACACTTTTCCTTTATGCTTATATAAATTTATTGTATAATGTTAATTTGGTTTCTGTTTTCTGCTTTCAGCTGCCGCCGCTGCTCCAGCCCAAATTTCGTTGCTATCAAAAAAGCAAACTCCGGTTATATTGAGCAAGGCGGCCGTGGAGAAAATACGCTTGAAATTTGGTCAGGTACAGGCACAGGCTAACTCCGGTGCGCTTGTCCTGACCAAACCACTGAAGACCAATTGTGGCAACGGCAGCAGTCAAAATACTAACAACAACAACATCAGCAACAATTTCAATTCTAGGCTAGCTCCGGGCATTGGGTCCAGCTCCATGCCAACGGCAACGAACCCTCCCATGCCGCCGCTGGTGCCCACATCGATGCCCACATCACTGGCCATGGCCAACAACGCTTTGCCAGAGATCAAGATTACACCGCTGCCCGCAGCTCCCATGAACGGCACCAAAATTATGAAAGTACAACCAAGTCCACTGACTGTGATTGTGCCCGTGACTCCGGCCCCGCAACTTACACCAGCAATAGCAGCAATAATGCCTGCAGCAACACCATTAACACCAATCCCAAAACTAAGTCAGCCAAGTGAGCAGCAGGGATCACCCAAGTTGCAGCGCTCCAAATCGTTAGCGAGCAATGAGGACAATGCGACAATTATTTTGATACAAAGTAATGCAACAGAGCGACGGCATTCGGTGGCGATTATGGCCAAGGAAGTGGACGTGGTGGAGCAGCCAACTCATATAGAGACCATAACCATAGATGACGATGACAGCGAGGAGGAAAAGGAGGCAGAACAAAAGCAGAAGCAGCAACAGCAACAGCAACAGCAACAGCAACCACAGCAAAGGCTGCAACAGCAACAAAGGCTGCAGCAAGCAGCAACACCAACACCAACAATTTCAGTTCCAACTTCGAGAAAAAACTCCACAGCCAGTCGTAGCAGCATTGCGAGCAGCTGCAGCAGCGATGTGGAAATGATCATTGTGCCATGCAGTAAACCGGAGGAGCCCAAACAACCCAAACAGCAGCCGCTGGAAACAAAGCAATTGGGCAATGGCCCCGTCATCAACATTGTCAAAGCTGAAACATTGCCAGTGTCAAAAGAAGAGTTTGAAAAGTCGCTGCGTTGCGATGAGCATGTGGACAACAGCTCGCCCTCGTCCGTGTGCACCAACAACACTCCGAAATCGGGCATCCTCACGGTAACGCCCATTGCACAACTGCAAAGCAAAAGTGTCGAGCCCAATGTTTCCTTTGCATTAAACACCTTTAAGCGGAGCATGCAACAGAATTTCGGCATGCTGCGCTGGCGGGAACGACAGCCAAGCATGCTCCAGAACTCCAAGATGCGCTTCGAGCTGAATCGCTTCAATATGCTGCAACTGGCAGAACGCTGTGAGCCTCGTCGCGGTCCAGCCAGTTACTTTGAGAGGGCGCTCATAGATCGACCTGTGCGAAGACCGAACAGCAGCAGCGATCCGTTGCTCTACTTGTGCTCACGTTGCAATTGCCATGGACCCGCCTCTGATTTTCTAGCACCGAGTGAGTCAACTCCATAATCTAACCAAATTGTGCCCGTGGGCTAATATTTGATTCTTTATTGCAGGATTTTGCTCGACTGCCTGTGTGCGACGCGTTCACAAACGTCGCCAACTCAATCCGCCCAGCGCTGCCAGCGAAAGTAAAATAAGTCGCATGGAACCAAAGGCAACTAATGGTCATCTACAGCAGCAGCAACAGCAGCAGCAACCACAATATCAGCAGCCACAGCTTCATAATCATAAACTGCTGCAGCAACAGCGCGAAAAAGAACGCCATCGTGAGCCTAGATCGAACGAATCGAAGCCACCTTTTCGCTGGACTGAATATCTCAAAATGAAAGGCAATGGCGGTGCGGCGCCAATACATCTCTTCCCAAATCCGTTTCCCATTAATCCCAATTGCTTTAAGCGGGGCATGAAACTGGAGGCCATCGATCCGGAAAATTGTTCGCTATTCTGTGTGTGCACCATTGTCGAAGTGTGTGGCTATCGCTTGAAGCTCAACTTCGATGGCTATTCCAGTATGTATGATTTTTGGGTCAACGCTGATTCGATGGACATTTTTCCGCCAGGCTGGTGCGAACGCACGTCGCGTGTACTCCAAGCGCCCAAGGGTTATTCCTCGGATCGTTTTAATTGGTATCGCTATCTGGTCAAGACGAATGCCAAAGCAGCGCCCTCATTACTCTTCACCCATCTTAATACATCCAATCATGTGCAGATTAATGACTTCTCTGTGGGCATGCATCTGGAGGCGGAGGATTTGAATGATACGGGCAAGATTTGTGTGGCCACCGTAGCGGATATACTGGATGAGCGTATACGCATACATTTCGACGGCTGGGACGATTGCTACGACTTTTGGGTGCATATTAACTCGCCCTACATCCATCCCTGCGGCTGGCATGAGGGTCGCCAGCAGCTGATCGTGCCGCCTGACTATCAGAATCTTACGTTCAACTGGGCCAGCTATATTGAGGAAACGGGAGGCATTGTAGCGCCCGTGGGTTTATTCAAGCCACGCGAACCCATGGAGTTTCAGGCACGCATGAAACTCGAAGTAGTCGATCAACGTAACCCCTGCCTGATACGTCCAGCGACCGTGATGACACGCAAGGGCTATCGCATTCAATTGCATCTGGATTGCTGGCCAGCGGAATACTGTTTTTGGCTGGAGGATGATAGTCCTGATCTGCATCCGATTGGTTGGTGTGAAGCTACCTCACATGAGCTGGAAGCTCCGCCCAGCTTCAAGCAGAGTCCCCCACAGATGCCCTGCGATGTGCCAGGCTGTCGTGGCTTTGGCAATGCCAAACGCTTCAACCTCAATATGCACGCTCTGCGCGACTGCTGTCCCTATGCACCGGACAACTGGCGCCAGTGGCGTGCCAAGACGGTGAAGCCGCCGCGAGTCCTACCCGAGCATATCAAGCGAGCCAATTCACCAATAGCGCAGTGTCAGCCACTATCGCTATCATCATCATCATCGTCGTCGTCGTCGTCATCGTCATCATCATCGCAGTCACCACCCCCTCAGGCACAGGTTGTGATGGATCCCTCGCCCATTTCAGTAACGCAATTGAATACCAACTCGAAGTCTGCGGCGGCCAAAGCGAAGACAATCGAAAAGGCGGACACACCACGAGTAAGCTTGGACTCGGACTCGGCCAACTTAAGGCGCGATGCGCCCACGCCGATACCCATGGAAATTCAGAACCAGACACCAGCCCCAGCTGAGCCGGACGAAGTCAATCCGCGCTGCTTAGCTATAGCCAAGACCATTGTGACCGAATATGGACCCCAGCTTGCACGCAATTATCGCCTTTGGCAAAGGAACAGCGACTTTGATATGACGCAGCTGAGAAGTAATCCGCTCTACTGGACCAACTGGGATGTCTATGAGTTTGTCGAGCGGGCGCTTAAATCCTCCAGCATTGCGAAAATGCTTTTCGACGAAGAAATCGATGGGCGCGCGTTATTAATGATGGGACGAAAAGATTTGGCCACCTACTTTAAGCTCAAAGTGGGGCCCACGGTCAAGCTCTTCTCGCTGATTGTCAATCTGCGCATTGCGGTCGCATGTAAGTTTGAGACCAAGGAGACGGGTCTCAACATTAACCATGTCAAGGACTCAATAACTGCAAAACGGGAGCCGCTAGAGAATAACTCGCAACCCAATACCGAGAATCCTTTAGCGGCAACTACAAATAACCAGGAGCAGAGCAATGTTGTTGAACAATTGGCAGAACAAAAAGAAGAGGAGTCCGGGGAAGAGGAAGAGGAGGAAGAAGCTGAGGAGGAAGAGGAGGCGGAGGAGGAAGATGAAGACGATGTTGACTTTGAATTCAAAGAAGAACCAGATGAAGTGTTACCGGATGATGAGGATGTTGTGCTGGACAGTGAGGACTTCCTATGCGTAAAGCCAATGCACGGGATGATCAAAAATGTGGACACCGTCGCTGATAAAGAATCGGATGTCACCATGACTCCCTTGGATGCGCAGCCTGTGAGTGCATCATAGGGTTTACTTTTTGCAGCGTCAGAAGAAGAACACGATAAGGATAAAGAGAAAGAAGAGGAGGATGCTGATGAGGAGGAAGAGACAGACGAATATGACGCTGATTGTGAATATGAAGAAGCACATCAACAGCCCATGTCTGACGAGGACGTTAAGCTGGACAACGAAGACTTCCTATGCGTTAAGCCCTTACACAGCATGGTCAAGAGTGAGAGACCGCTTGAAGATGAGGACTCGGATTCAGACACGGATTCCCTGGATGCGCTTCGCGTGACCGCATCATAGGGTTCCATCCATCCGACGCCAGCCATTATGTTTCAATCACGTTTAGATTTAAGTCCATCAGATCAACTGTTAACCACGGAAAAGCAGTCTAGTTAGTTGATCTATTCATATAAGATTTGTTGCGTTGGATCGTTTTCATTCAATTAATATTGTGTATTCTATTGATATAGTAACTAATCTTTAAGCGTTTCAATTAAAGTTAATGTATAAAAGTTATTCCTATATCGATAATGTTCCTAATGGTTCCCCTCCCACTTTTCTTTAAGCTATGCGCTTGAGTAAACGATGGAAAATGCGTTTATTGGAGCTGTGAACCGAACCAGATACTTTTTTGAACTAGCAATATCACGTATTCGCTGAACTTCTGCTTGGTTCGTGCGATTCATGCAGCGGAACGCAATGTGCCATATGCATATACTACAATAGTCAATAGAAGAGGAATATGGAACTAATTTGGATTATAATTTCGATGTGATGTTCGAGACGAAGTTCGCCTTTCCCTTGGCGAAGCTTTCATTTTTTTTTGTTTGCTATTCAGTGATGATGAAGCAGCTTTATTTTCATGTGGCATTGATAATCGACGTACTTCCTCTAGTTCTCCTTCCTTAACTAATGATAGTAATCTTGGTGTATCAGACTCCTTCTTATTCTCTGTCAGCGTTGACTCTCGTACATTTCTTACTTCTGTTTGTAATTTTTGTTGATCTGGTTCCTGTTTAACTGGATTCAAATTGCTTAATGATTCTGCTTCAGCTGGTTCTAGTTCGGTTTGCGAATTTTCTTCTGCTGCTGCTCTTACTGACGATGCTGCTCTTACTGATGATGCTGCTCTTACTGATGATGCTCTTACTGATGATGCAGCTCTTACTGATGATTCTCTTACTGATGATGCTGCTCTTACTGATGATGCTCTAACTGCTGGTGCTTCTACCGCTGCAGATGGACGTAATGCTGCTGCTGATGATGATGATGATGATGACGCTACAACTGCTGCTGATGATGGTGCTGCTGCTTCAGTCTCGGTCTCATCTTTTATGGCCAAAGTGCCGTCCGATGCAAAGAGCAGATTGCCAAATAGACGCGTCACATTGACAAATTGTTGAAAGGAGCACATATTTGTGTAATACAAATTGTTGTGTATCTGATATCTCTTCAGTGCCAGCAGCAAATCCCTATCGGAAATGGTGTCTGCATTTTGCAAAATCAACATCAGGGCATGCAGCTCCTTAATGTTAAAGATCAGAAAAGTATTATCAGCGATCAGCTTTCGAGCCATTGGCACCATTTTCTGCAACGGAGCTGAAGATTATGAGAATGAATGCTTAGCGAATAATTAGCATTACCTTTCCCACGAGCTTCAACATGGCCGGGCGATTGTGCTCGTTGGCCAGCTGAAACATTTTCAGCACTGTGCACATGGGCCAATCCTTGTTGATGAATTTGCTAATGTAGCCATCCACAAAGTCGGGCATCTTGTATTTGGTGGCCAAGTAGATGAGATCTGGGAATATGTCGATCTTGATGTCATTATATATCTCGTATGTGTATATATAGAGCAACAGAGTTTCGTATGCATCGGGCTTGGCGTCATTCACATTGATCACCAGCTGTTTTTTGTTGAAGTCCATTTCGCGGAACATGCGCTCGAACTCCTCCGAGGCGGAGGCTAACAAAAGCTTGTGGCATTTGAATTGGCGGCAGCAGCAATTCATTGATTTACCAGAATACCAAACTTTCAGCTCACAATCCGAAAATTGTCCAGAGCGGAGCAATTCCAAACGACGTAACTTGCAAAACATCATTTACATATTTGAAAATTTGATACAATACATAAATTTGGTACTAGAACCGATGACTCCTGGGAATCATAGAAGTAACAGACTTTTTCCCATTTTCAAATTCGACTCTTTTCCTTTATTGTCGCCTGTTTGTAGGTTTGATTTGTTAGCTTTTTGCCTAAAGCTTGCTTAAATTGTTGGTTTAAAATGTCAAAATCTCCCAACTTAGATACTCGTGTTGCAGTTTTGGGATCGAGTTCATCGCCGGCCGCAGATGAAGCTGCAAGCACATCCTCATCTACCGCACGGGCGAAGTCTCCTCTTGCCCAAGATATACCCTCGACCAAGAAGCGTCGCCTCGACTATTTGCGGAACGGCATTGATGCCGATTGCGAGGTGCACGTAGCAAAGAATCCGAATGGTGTCGATGAAGCCAGCAGCACATGTTATAAGAAATTTAAATGCCATCGACTATTTCTGGCAACCGCTTCTGAGAAACTCGAACATGATATTTTTCAAAACAAGCACTGGAACGGGATATTGCAGATAAATGGCGTTTCGCCAGAGAGTGTGGAAGTTTTTTTGGAATTCATTTACACATTTGAGCTGACAGCGGAGCGAATTGATCTGCTCATCATTGGGGATGTATTCATATTGTCCTGTGCATATAATCTGCCCGACTTTCTGGTCAAGTTTTCGGAAGAGCTAAAGAATGTTACGTGGCCATTGGCGGGCATATTACCGGCCTACGATCTGGCATTTCGCCATAATATTTATGATCTCGAAAATTGTTGCATAACCGTAAGTTTTCCGTACATTTTTGAATTTCTCCCTAATCGAGTGGAACTCGATATTTTCGAAACTTCTTCAGAAAATTTTAGAACATGCAGCGGAGCTTAAAAACGAACCCGGAATTATACAATTGCAAACGTACGCATTTAACTACGTCATCCAATACTGGCTAGCCACCCAGGTATATTCTATATATGTTATAAAATTACAATTAATAATAATGAATTTACTTTATGCAGGCGCTACCCACAAACGAAATAATTAAACTAATACAGGAATACCAGAAAGAACATAATTTAATTTTTAGAAATTCGCTTCATTTTCCACATTTCATTAAGATAATCAAATACTTTCCCAGCGTGCTTCTCGACGCCGAAGGATTCATACATACATATTGATATGAATATTAAATTTGAACGCAAACGGTAAATGTTCGTTTGCCTAAATTATTTGACAGCCTAAGTTTTCAAGCTAACATAGCTATGTAAATTCGCATATGACAAAATAATCAGTGTAATAAAACAGGCTATTGGTATTTTTTTTAACATATTCCTAAGAGATCAGCTTAATGGCAGCCCTGTTATATTAATCTGAGAATATTTGTTATACAGCCAATAAAATTACGTTTTTTTTTGTTATCGACACATTGTTTTTAAGAGAACCAGTAAAATATTTTTACATATATTTATACCTTCGTAATGGAAATTAATACTTATATTAAATGCCTAGTTATCCCTTCTTTTTAAAATGAGCTATAATAAAATATTGTTTATATAATAGTTTACCTATAACTGAGCTAAAATTTTTCGAGCGAACAAACAATTTCAGTTCAAAATGATGCACATGCAGCAAGCTATCGAGTAGTTACTATCGATATATTTAGCCATCCCTATCTGGTCCTCAACTTGTGGTTTTCGTACAGCATTTTTCCGGGTGTTACAGTGTTACAGTGCTTGAAAAATATAAATAGCAAATTGCAAACCGTGTAAACAAATTTCTAAGCTAGTGCACGTGCAAAAAAAAAAAACCTGGAAAAGTGTTGTTCGTTTATTACAGCAATGAAAGGCAGTTAATGATTTGCTATTTGGATTTTCGTTGCCGACGTCGGATCTCTTATACAGATATAGTAAACGGCGCAATCGCCTGAACGCAACTACATTTCCCACTGTGCAGCAGACATAAAGTAATTGCAATGTGTTTAATGCTTTAATTAGTGGTTTGCATTAGGTGCCTAAGAAGTTATATACTATTTGTTTTTCTTTCTTTTTTGTGGCGCATGTTTTGTTTTCTTGTGCACTGTACACCACATCATTATGCTTGTGTTGTGTGTGTGTGTGTCTGTGTTAGTGACTTTGTACACATTTTAGGCGGTGTGGTGCGAGGCCCTCGTAGTGCGTTCGATACATATCGCAGTCATACGTCTATCGATATGCATTGGGGGTGAAATGCGCGCGAAACGTCAATGGGGGCTAACATACATTGTCCACATATATACATAAAAACAATAAGGGAAAATACATTTAATCATGAATAAAATGATAAAATATTCGTTTTCAACTTTATTCTTTTACAGTTGATGGTTCGGTATCTGCCCGCTTAAAAGTTTGTACACGATTCATTCATCAATTAATACAACATGGAGGAAATATCCAGTCTCGACTCTTTTGGCGCTGATTCCAGCGCAAGACCTGAATCAGAAACGTCCAAGTTAGAGGAGGACAATTCCAGGGAGAAAGCTGAAACAACAGCAGCCCTGCAGGATACCCCAGCATCACCATCACCTGTGGAAAATGTTGGTGCTGATGGCGACATAGCTGAAAAGCCACCTTCGGTGCCAGCAACAGGCGATGATGACGATTTTGAGCAGATATCAGAGGGTTCCTTGGACACGGACGAAGGACAATCACAAGAGAAAACTGATGCTAGCACAAAGAATGATCAAAATCTTATAACTAAAGATAGTGAAGAGTTGGATGCAGCACCCAGCGCAACAGATCCGAGCAATGAGGATGCGCCGGAACAAGATGTGGAGCCAGCTGCAGCGGATGAGGAGCAGGAGCATTACAATATCGATTCCAGTGCTGAAGCAGATGCTCAGCAGCAACATGATGCCTTTGAAAATGTAGAAGAAGACAAAGAAGTGGCCGAAAGAGATGCTGTCGATGGTGCACCCGCCTACAATGAAGCAATGGAAGTGGACGATGGCGAGGCCGAAGGTGATGCTGTAACGGAAGCTGCACCCGAAGTAGCAGCTGGGGATGCTGATGATGTTGAAATGCGGTCCGAAGGCGGCGACTCCCAGCATGCAGCCGCTGAAGAAGCCGATGCGGGCGATAAGGCTATTGAAGATACGCCCTCTGAGGGCAGAGACGAAGTTGATAGAACAGAAGAACATAATCAAGATGCTTCAGCAGTCACGGACAATCTATCAACACATGAAGATGATGATGCCGAGGCAGAGCAAAATGAAGATGCAGCCGAAGGCGAACAACAAGATGAAGCAGCCGATGAAAGTGCTGAGCAACAAGATGAAGCAGGTGAAGCAGAGCAATTAGAAGAAGCTGCTGAAGCAGAGCATGGAGATGGTAAGTGTAGTTTATATTTGAATAAAATTTGAAATACTATATTTTAATATTTTGCTCAATTACACAGATACTGTCGAGAATGTGCTGGAGCCTGAGGAATCTGATGTTTGTCTCATACCGGACGATCCTGAAACGGAAGTAACCGAAGCCGAAAAGGAATTGGCCCGTGAAAATGCTGAAAAGGCAGCCGAGGAGGAAGAAGCCGCTGAGCAAACGCTGTCTGGAGCAAAATCACCTGCCAATGAAGTTGAAGATGCAACAGAAGCACAAAGCGATAAGGATGATGCGGCCACTAGTGTAAATGCACCAACGGACGACTTATCAGAATCGGCAAACGGTAATTAAATTAATTAAGTAAATGTAATTTAAATGTTAAGCTAAGCTGTCGTTTGCTCTCTGTGTGCTCTTATTTAATCCTCCATTTGAGCAGCAGAGGCTCTGGCTGATAAGCCAGCTGGAGCTGATGTTTCAGAATGTGCTGAAGGTGAGCGTTACAAACACTTCTAAAAACTCATTCGGTCTAGCTTTCTATGCGACTTTCAGAAATTCAAGTAATGCATGAATCAAATGTTGGTGGCCTCAAAGGGAACCTCATAGATTGAAGCTATAATGCTTAATTTTATTATATTGGCAAACGATAAACAAATTATATAATCAAATTCTTTGCGTTATCCAGCGAATACTGCGGCTAATGACGATGAGGACACTCCCGAAACGGATGCCCAGGAAGCTGATGAGCCCAGTCACGAAGCGTCAGGAACCGCGGAAGATGAAGCAGGAGGAACTGCCAAGATAATCATCGTTTGGATTGTGGGCAGCACACAAAAATGTAAACAATGCGACAACGAAAAGACCTGCGTTTATCGCTTCAAACACAGCGAAGAGCCTGCAGATGAGAATGCCGAAGAGACGGCGGCAGCTGAAACAACTGCAGCCGGAGGCACTTTCGAGTATTTGTGCGATCAGTCGTGTTGTGATGCATTCTTAGCTGCGGAACCGGGTAAATACTTTTTGCGGCGCAAGAAGTTTTTGGTCGAAGAGGTTAGTCAGGAAGCCACCAGTGGAGCTGCCGTTGATGACGATACAAGTGTGAATACAGAGGCAGCAGCTGCTGAGCCTACTGAAGGTGATGCAATAGACGCCGGTGTAACGGAGAAGAAGCACGCCTGCCTGCAGTGCAAAGAGGAGGCAAATTGCAAATACTTTCTCAGACAAGAGCAGGATACGTTCTACATATGCAACGACGATTGCTTCAATCTCTTAAATGCCGAAGAGCCGGAGAAATACAAGCTGAAGCGTCATTCGATACGCGTGCGAAACATTGGCGCCACCACCATACGCTCACCCAGCAAGAAGCCCGAATCAAATGTGGTCGCACGCACCAATACCGAAGCGGAGGCAGCGCGTCTCGATCGCATTGAAAGCTTTAGACGGCGTTGCGCTGATTGTCAGCAGGAGGTCAACGTGGGCGACAAACAGCTTATTTGGGAGACAATGGACTTTTGCAACGAGGTGTGTCTGGGTAGCTATCAGCGTTCCTTTGGTGGTAACTGTGAGACCTGCAAACAGGAGGTGAGCTCCATAGCTCTGGGGAAATACTGTGTGCGATTTGGCTTCGAGGTGCGTCAGTTCTGCTGCGCGGCTTGTCTTAATACGTACAAAAAGGGACTGAAGACTTGCAGTTGCTGTCAGAAGGACATTAGTAGCGGGCAGGAGGGATTCCTGGCGCCCGTCGGTGACAAGGATCAGTTCAAGGACTTTTGCTCGCAAGTGTGTCTGAGGCGTTATGACAATATGTGCAATCCCAAGAAAAAGTTGCGCACAGACATGTGTGGCGTTTGCAACAACGAGAAGCCAGTGCGCGTAGAGATGCTGTTGGACGATAAAGAGCACTACTTCTGCTCGAATCCCTGTTTTTCAGCTTTCAAATTTGTCAGCAATGTCAATGCCGATCCGTGCTCCATGTGCTGCAAGTACTTTGAGCGAAAGAGCGCCGATGCGTACACAATTTACAGTAATGATCAGCAGACGCCGAAAATGTTCTGCTCACGCATCTGCATTAATGTGTACATCATTGTCAATCGACACATTGTCTCCTGTCAGTGGTGCAAGGTCAAGAAATATAATTTTGATATGATCTATAAACAGCAAAGCGATCAGGAGACGCTCACTTGTTCCATAAACTGTCTGACTATGCATGGCGTTAGCTGTAATATTTCGGCACGCGCTGTCACTAAGTGCGACAATTGCAGCAATACAAGCACCCCGCAATACCATCTGACCATGTCGGATGCATCAATGCGCAACTTTTGTACATATCAGTGCGTAATGCAGTTTCAAAATCAGTTCGCCCGTACGCCCCTTACTTTGGATAGCGATTTGCCGTCAACGTCAGCTAGTAAGGCGCAGCAGCAGCAGCATCTATCCACCTCACAAGCTCGTGGCAGCAACAAAAATGGAGCACCCTTCCCCACCGGATTGCCCAAGCGGGTCAAATTGAAGTTGTCACAACAGCCGGTAAGTGTTTTACTGCAACTTTAAACTTGATCCTTAATGCACACTTAAAAAATCTGTTATCGATAGCACCCTTTCTGCGATAGTCGCATTTTAGTAGTGCTATGAAATGTTGAAAGAATATTGAGCGGGCCAGATGAAATATTTTAATTTAAAACTAACATTGTATTTTTGAATGTAAAAAGTGGATTCCATATAGATTGCCAGAAGATCAGTGTATCCAATTTTAGTTTGTATTTTTTTAATTATCCCATCTGAATTGATCAGGTTGTTTTTTTACGCGATGTGGCAACGTTGTTACTCGTGTAGTTCTTAAATCCTTTACGCGCTTTACCAATTCGTTACTAATTTTCGTACAAGAGTTAAGAATGCGTCTTAAGTGGAAAGTATGTTTTAAGATAGCCTTATTCCAAATATACTAAAGTATTTTAATCAATCTCTTTGCAGTCCGGCCTAAAAAATAATGCCTCTGGTGGCTTAAATAAGAAATCAGCTGGCGGAACCGTTGTGCCCGTAATTTCAACCGTTCAATCTCTGGCCAGCGGCGAAACCGAGGCACGTATTGGCAGTGTAACGGTGCGACGCAAGCGTGGTCGTAAGGCGGACTCGCCACCACCGTTGTCGGTGAGCATTACGTCGTCCTCATCGTCATTGGGGGAAGTCCGTGGTCGCGGTCGTCCGCGCAAGCATGTAGATTATTCTGTTGCACGGTCGCCTTCGCCGCCATTGAATACGCAGCCATTGCGGCGCAACATAAGCACTCCTAGCACCGATTTCCCAGCGGCAATAACGGAAACAAAGATCATCACTGTTCCTCCGTATCCAAAGGCGGTTCGTAATGTAAATATCAGCTGCAAGCCCATGACTGTTTCGATAAGCGCTCAAGTAACGCCGTCCATGCGAGATTGCGCCACCCAGACCGAAAAAGATTATTCGAACAAGGTACTAATACCCGTACCTGTGCCTATATTCGTACCGCAACCGATGTATATGTATTCTGCGCCATTCCCGGTGCCGGTGCCCATTCCCCTGCCTATACCGGTGCCAATCTTTATCCCCACGACACGAAACACCGCAGCTGGCATTTTAAAGGAAATTAAGAAGATACAGGATAAAATGCCTGAGGACCCACTGGAGGCTGAATTGCTGATGATGGCTGAAATGGTGGCTGAAGAAAAACATGAATCAGACTCCGATTCGGACAATGAAATAAAACCGGATCCTGGTCTGGTCACCCTGCAATATCAAAATAGCCTGGAGCAACAGCAGCAGCAACAACAACAACAGCAACAACAGGTTGTGGACGTTAACGTCGCCAGTCATAATCACTATGGCGATGATATGCTCCAGATTGCCCTCAAAATGGCCACAGGTGACTTTGAAAATCCGCATCAGACAACAACCGTTGATCTTGAATCAACAATGACGGCCAACACGATAACGAGTCAATCTCCGATGGGACATGATATGGGTCAAATGGGCGTGCATCATCTGGACCAACATCACATGTAAGAACTATATATTACCTAAACATTATTTTAAATGCTTATGACTTTAATTTCCTTTAGGTCTCCGCGAGGTCGTAAACGTGGCAGTGGCACCATCGCCGTGATGGACTCTCCGTCACGGAATAGTCGATCGCCGGTTAAAAGACAGCGCGGCAGCGAAATGGATCACTCGGCCCTGCAGCAACAGTCACAGCAGGCGCAGCAGCCGCAGGAGAAGCCCGATGCACAAATGTTCCTCAAATACACATTCGGTGTCAATGCCTGGAAGCAATGGGTGATGACCAAGAATGCGGATATCGAGAAGAGCTCGATGCGCAGGCGACCTTTCAAGACGGAACTGCTGCAAATGACTGCGGACGAGCTTAACTATTCGCTCTGTCTGTTTGTTAAGGAGGTGCGCAAGCCCAATGGCACGGAGTATGCGCCGGATACAATATATTATCTTGTACTGGGTAAATATAAACCAGGTTCTAATGTCTATAGCAATTGCTAACACTCTTTGTTTTTATACAGGCATTCAGCAATACCTTTATGTTAATGGACGCATTGACAATATATTCTATGATCCGTATTATGAACGTTTTACGGAATGCCTCGATGAGGTGGCACGCAAATTTTCTGTGCTTTACAATGATTCGCGTACGTTTTATAACAGTCATGTGTAGTACAGCAAAGTATAACCGGTTTATTTATATTCCCACAGAATACATTGTCACACGCGTGGAGGAGGAGCATTTGTGGGAGTGCAAACAACTAGGCGCCCATTCGCCCCATGTGCTGCTCAGTACGCTGATGTTCTTTAATACTAAGCATTTTAATCTAACTGTAAGGACTTCCTTCATTGGGTTTATATCAAATGATTTATTTACAATTTGTACACTTCCTACAGACTGTTGAGGAGCATATGCAATTATCGTTTTCGCACATTATGAAGCATTGGAAACGTTCATCGCAAAACTCGAAGGTGCCCGGCACACGAAATGTGCTCTTGCGATTCTATCCACCGCAGGCAGGTTTGGGTAAGTAACATATTTATATAATAAATAAAATAGATAATATAATTATATTATCTCTTACAGATGCCAATCCGCGCAAGAAAAAGGTTTATGAGCAGCAAGAGAACGAAGAGAATCCATTACGCTGTCCTGTACGTCTGTACGAATTTTATCTATCCAAATGGTACGTTAAAAATATTTTTGTTTTAATATAAAATATTAGTACTAATTGTAATTTTTCAAATTATAGCCCAGAGAGTGTAAAAACGCGTAATGATGTGTTCTATTTGCAACCGGAACGATCCTGTGTACCCGATTCGCCCGTTTGGTATTCAACGCAAGCGCTCAGCCAGGATGCACTACAGCGTATGCTGCATCGCGTTAAAATGGTCAAAGAAATCAATATAGCGCTATTGACAACTTAATGTGTAATTATGCACACACGGACGCACATACGATTTGTAGTATGTGAATAAGCTCATTTTATAATGACATTTAAGGACTACGAACCTTTGGTGCTTAGCACAAGATTATTTGCGGGCAAAACACCAACATAACCAATACAACTAAACTAAGAGATGAGCGCCTCTCCACGACTCCAATCGTTGAAAAAATCATAGTTGTGTTGTATAAGTAAAGTTATACTTATACATATATATAAACACTAATAGATATATATATATCTAAATTAACATAAATTGTTTTTACGTACTATAAAAAGTTGTGCCCTGAGAGTAGCGCAATATTAGGCTCTGTATAGATTATGAATTTAAATTTGAACTTTATCTCAATCTTCAAAAAAAAAAAAACGAACGAATCAACATCATTTAATAATTTGGCAACTGATTATTTCAAATACACATTTTGTTTAGTTTTAGATACGTAAGACCACAGCGATGACGATTGCAATTAAGTCATTTAATTAGATTGTTTAGTGTTAACTGGTAGGGAGTGTGCTTAAGTAATCAAATTTCAGTCCTTGAGGCAGCGGTACGATTGGAGCGTGCGGCGAGCCGTATGTACATTGAATATATATTATCTATAAACATTTAAAACAGATACTATGACGTTGCAGTGTACATAGAGCATGAACATAAACAATAAGCCAATTATGAGCTGTTGTTCTAAGTGTTTTAATTGTAAAATGCTGTACTCCTTAATTAAAAAAAGTAATTTTAAATATACGATACATATACATATATTTTACAATCTATAAACTGTATGATTTCTTAAGAATTTGTGTAGTTTTTATTGCTTTGATTTGGTTCGACTTGATATAAATATTTCGTTTTTATCATGCAATATATTCATAAGGCTCTTGCACTCTGAATGCATAAAGCTACTGTCTATTTTTTTTTAATTTGACACATCCATCATAAAATCGAACAATCTAAGTGCTGCGTCGGTGTGTCTTCTTATTACATACATTTATATATCGTAATGGTCCTTATGCAAATCCTAGTAATTGTTTCCTTACAAAGTTTCATTTTATTGACAATAATATGCGGAGCAGTGTAATTAATACATAGATATTACGATTACAAATTGTTTAAATGAAACACAACTCAACTTGACGCAATCAATACAAATAGTCGAAACTAATATTAGATACAATTTTATATGCCCGGCCTGGCAACGTGGTTAAAGGGCATTGCACTTTAGCTGCCTTTGTTGGACATCGTTTGGTCATGAGGTGTATGTACGTGTATGGATATATTTATATATTTATATAAATATATTTGTGTGTGTGTTTGGGTGTGTTTGTATGTATGCATGAATTTGTGTGTGGATTGGGGGTGCTATTTACGTATTTAAAGGCGCACTGTGAGGCATTTCGTTTGTCTTTTATTTGTTTGTTAGTTTTGATAATTGTTATCTGATGGATTTTCACACTATGCTTGTTGTCGGTCCTGGTCGATTACCATTCGGCATCGCCGTTAGATTTCTGAAATACGTAATCTTTGCCGCGCATATTCATAATGCCATCCTTGAGATAGAATTTCCATTTGTTGCGCGAGCGTGTGATCTATAAAAATAAAATTAGTTGATAAATACCGTTATTTATAAAATTAGTTATTCTCTTACTTTATCATACTGGCACACAATAACGTTATCTGTGTCAAACACTTCAGCCGAATCCTCGTCAGTGACATCATCCTCGCTATTCAACGGCTCTTCTTCGGCAGCGTCCTCGTGCTCCGCATCATCGTCATCATCTTTGTCTAGATCATCATCATCATCATTGTCTATGTTGTCGTCACTCTCCTCGCTCTCATCCTCCTCTGAGGAGTCTAAGGCGCCGTCTAGTTGCTTGGCAATAGCCAAATTTTCTACAAAATAAACTTAAATTATTAAAGACGTCCTGTTGAGATCCGGCGTAGCTGTCTTACTCTGATGATTGGCATTGCTGAGCGCGGCATTCACGTGCTGTTGCAGCACGGATGAGGCTAACGTGGTAGGCAATGACATAATCGATGAAATGAGATGAGCGGTCAATATCTGGGTAAGCTGATTCTCCTGCAGTGCGGATGCCGGCACCTGTATGGTGAGCACACGAGATTCCGGATTTGTTGAGCCCGGTGGCGAAGGCAACGTTATCTGCAAGGCATTTGTTTTAATAAAGTTTTCTTACAATTTGAGAATGCTCACATTAACAGGCATAATGCGATTGGGATCTAATTGGGCGACAATTGGGATGGGCGTCTGCCCGCTGGATGTCGAGCCACCACCTCCAGCCGCTGCTTGCTGCTTCTGCAACATTGTCGCACCACCTGTGGGATGCAGAGGCGGTGGATTCTGTGATGTGACCTCCTGTTTAATGGCACCAATACCATTCTTCATACCGCTGCCAGCTGCGGCAACGGCATTTCCTGATTTGCCTGCAATCGATGGCGATACCAGCTTATTGCTGTCTGTGCTGCTGTTGATGCTGCCGGCGGTGGAGCCACCACCGTTGCTTTGCTGTGAGGCAGCCGCAGCGGCGGCGGCCTTTTTGGCCTTGGCATTTGCAGCCTGTCAAAGAGAAAAATAATTAGTCTAAAAAGCTATGCGGGCGAGTGCTAAATACTGCATTACCTTGGAGCTCTGCAGCAAAGTATGTGGGCGAGTGTGTGTGTATGTGTGTTGTGTGATGATAGCAGTTACATATACATAAAGCAGCAGTCGGTGTTCGTATACATAATGTTGATGGGCGCGATCAATTGTTGAAATTGGAGAGACAGAGAGAGAGAGAAAAAAGCAACAAAGTAAAGTTATATTTGGCGTCAAACACGATGTATGCAACACAAATATGTACGATTAGGTCTACACACATATTAACTATTGTAAAATGGACAAACAAGCTACACATCCGTCGAAGGCCCTGGCAACGAGACACACACCTTGCTTACCTTTGGATTGTTGGCCACAATGGGCGGTGGGTGGTGGCCTGGCTCGCCGGGTTCGGGATTCAATTCAACCGCCTTACTTGCTAATAGCTTATTGCGCCATATCTGTTTCATCTCCTGCAGCACCTGCTCGTCGACGCCCTCATCCAGAAAGGCATCGCGCACATTGTTAATGACATCCTCAATGACGGCATGATACACTTTCAGCTGTCACAATTGAAATGAAACAGTTTGGTTAATCAACAATAACAAAATAATTTATAAATTTAAAGTATTGATCAAGCATCGACTTCCGTTCTCAACTTTCCGAAATAATCTATATATACTGAACACTCAGTACTGACTAACCCATCAGCTTAATAGATAAGGATTAGTTCAAGTTCTTAGAAAACCCGCTGCAATGAGTAAACTACTTATTCAATTTATTTGCATTAGCGTGTGTAACCTGTAAATTGAACATAAATTAAGGTCAGTTATATGAAATGCAGTCAGCTGGAAAGTTGCAACATATGTGTAATGAACACGCGCAATGCCGGGTAGCCTCTTATTCGTATGAAATGTCCTGCGTTTGGCGATTCTATATTAAAACAATTCAATTGGGAGTTCATTCGAAAAGCCTCAATTATTATTCACACTGCAACTTGCATATGCATATATATATATATATATATATATATATACATATGTGTATATGTATATGTATATGTGCATGTGTTTGTCTGTATGTATGCATTATAATTCAAGTGCTATTTTTGAGTGCAAGTATGGCCGCTGCTTCTACTACATACTTTCTCACATTTATTGTATCTGCAGACATCGTACATACAAAGAGATGCGACACGTAATTGTGGTTACTATCGAAGCTAAGATAAGAAATTTTATGCTGATAATAAAACAAACTGTTAATAGTATATAAACACAGTATCTAAGCTATTTCAAATGCATGGGTTAAGGCGTCAATCGCAAACATATGATTGGTCAAACGCACATACACCAACATGTATGCGAATCCTTCAACACGCCGCATTCGCATATAGATACAAACAAACACACACACACACAAAGCGGCAGACAGGCCGCCGCCGCCGCAGGCATAAGGCAACTCACGTTCTTGACATCTGGAAGGGCACAGAAGGGGAAACTTTCACTTTTGAGGTCAACCATTTGTATGGTTCCATATGTCACAGGTTATAAATTATTATTAAACCCAAAATTCTTAATAACTGAGTAAACACCGCATATTCTATGTACATTTTTGTAGTGTACATTTTGTTTTATAGAGTTCAACTTTGTTGTAATAAATACATATGTCTATTGTACATTTACAGTAAATTGAACTATGTGCATATAGCTTACCACTGATGTTTGGCATAATGCCATCTGTACTTTTTTCTCCGCCAGTTTGAGACCTTTTTGTGCTTACTCTTTACCAAATTGAACACTGTAATGGACGTAAAACTTTTAAAAATTACAATTAAGAAAAAATGCGTCTCGTCTGACACACACAGATGTGACGAAGATACGAAGTAAAAACACGACCAATCAGTATGCCCGTATCTTGCGTTTCGATAAAAACCAAATACGACGTTGCCAGACTGCTATGTTGTGACAACACTGATATATATTCAGTTAGATAGACAACAGAGAAAGTTTACATTTAATATGTTATTAACATTACCAACAATTTTCAAAATATACTAATCATATATATCACAACTCTGACGCTCGCTATTAAATTCGAGATCATCATCATCGTCGTCATCGTCGATATCCGCATCTGGCTTATAATCCAAATCAGATTCTCCCTGTACGTGAAATGGATCCTCCTCGTCTGATTCCAAATCAGAGTGTTCATCTGTTCTCCCATTGGAATTCGCCTGGGTGCGCCGCTGCCGCAAACGGTTTTTTATATTCTGGGCGGAATTGACTAAGCTGCCTTTTAGCAATCTGGCTCGAACATTGTATATTACTTACAATCTGATGGATGCGAATACTGTTGAAAATGTATAGGATTCCGGCGATAACATAAGTTTCCAAAGGGACAGGCCGGTGTGCCCAGAGGTGGTGTTGGGAAACTAGGACGCCTGTAATCCGAATCCCCTGGATGTGCTTCTGTACGCCGATGAGCCAGATTGCGTCTAAATGTTAAAATGACGATATTAACTTTTAACAGTCATAAAAAAGAGATATGATCTTTAATTACCTGTAGCACTTTATACCAAAGCGACAGGATGGTCTTAGCGTGCTGGATGAGACTGAGCTATCTGCTATCGCCGACTGAGTGTTACTGTTTGGTTCTGTCTTCACAACTGTGGAACTGCTAGCTACATCCGTTTTCACAGATGGATCATCGTTGCTTGCTTCCGTTTTTATTACAATAGTTGATGAGGCGCTGGAACTAGTGCTTGTCGTGGGGACGTCACTGACGTCGACGGCAGCTGAAACATCATGATCTTCACCTGGCTCTTTTTTGATAGTCACTGGAATGTTATTACTGGAGGACTCCATTTCGTCTAGAACTTCCGTTTTTACAGTTACTTTATCGCTAGATCCCACGTCTTCATTGTCCTCAGATTTCCTGCGCTTATTTATTGCACTAGTATCCGCACTGGCTTGTTGGTCGTTGGAAAACTTCCGTTTAGCTGCTTCTGTAGTCTCTGGTTTATTTTCTGTGTCATTATTTATGATTGAGATATTCTCCAAGATTTCCTCCTCGCTCGCGCTCATGTCAACAATGCAAAAAAATCTAAATAAATTAATTCCTATTTCACAACGCTATTGATCGGATCTTTAGTGTTATCGGTTTTATGCTAAGAACTAATACTCGATATTTCGATATACGCGGTTGCCTCTGTAAATCAACAAACCGCATTATTTTGAAAGATTTTTTAACTCGCTTGGATGCGTAGTATTAAAAAAGGAACACAATTAAAATTATCTTTATGTTTAAAATTATATTATGTGCCCTTGTTATTGATATTAATTATGTTCATTTACATTAATAAACCGTCAATCAAGTAATTCTTTTGTACTTAAGGCTGATTGTGAGATTTATTCAAATTATTATACATATACACTAATAAAATATCCGCTGTGTCAGTTGCAATTGGTTGTTCTGTCTAGTGCAGCAGCTTCCAAAAGCACCTGCATTATCTTGTCCTTGGTATTTTCCGATGTTTTGCATGATAATTGTCGCAGTCGATCAGCCACAAAGTCGCCAAATATTTGTGATGAATCCTTAAGATTCTTGACGGCAAGGGTAACAGCATTTGTGATGCTTTCCTCATCTATGCTTGCTGTGGGTGCAGGATTCTCTACTTGATCGTCAGAATGTGTGGTGGACCCATTGGAGAACAATATTTGTTCCGGCTCATATAACGCTAGACTCTCTATAATGGCCTCATAGTCTGGTCCATTACTGGCTCTCTTCTCTGTTTTTACTGGAGACAGTTTAATATTGTTTTTACTGTCCTCAGTATGTGTTTTAAAGCGTTTGGCTTCTGTAACTTTGCTGGGTTTGTAGTCCATGTGGTGGTCCAAAGAAGAAGTGTCATCGTCATTGCTCTGTTGATAAAATAATGAAAAATTAGTCGCAGATCTGATTGCTTTCCTAAACCTATGCTTACCGAGTCATTTCTTTTTGCTGCAGCTGCAGGATTCATTTTTTTGTGTTTCTTTGTAAGCGCATGAGCGCGCAAGTCGCATATCTTTGTATTTACTCCACATTTGCAGAATCGACAACGTGCTCTGTATGAGTCCTCGGGATCTCGTCGTAGCCACGGTCTAAATTCGGGCATTTGGAGCCAGACTTCTCGCAGTTTTTGCTTATATCTCTTCATAGTTCATTAACAAAATTTACGAGAATAACAAGTCGAATAGAGATGGTAATAACAAACCGCTTAGTGGAGGTTGATAAAAATGGATGGCAGTCGATTAAGACATTACCCTACACTGTTTTTTTCTTCTAAATATGTATTGTCGATACCGATGTATAACAAAATCACGATAATAACATGAGTACCAAACAAGTCTGATTTTAACATCTTCCAACACTCAACGAATACAACACGTGAAGTTTTAGTGAATCGAAATGAAATCGGCCAAAAATAAATTAAAGAGCAATGATGACTTAAAACATCAAGAAAAGCTGGTTGATGTTGCAGAGAAAAGCAAAATAATCAAAAAGGCAACGAAGTTAAAGAAACCAAAAAAGGCGAAAACCGCCAAAAAGGATGCGGCTTTAGAGGAGGCAAAAGAGGGCCCAAAGAATTTATCTGTATCTGATTTGGCCAAGATCGAGAAGAAAAAGGCTAAGAAACAGGCACAAAAACTAAAGAAACAGCAGAAAAAATTAATAGGCGATACAGTAGAAAACAAATCTAATTTAAAAGCGAAAGCGCCGCCAAAAACAGAGATATTCGACGAAAAGAGCACGAGTTTACCAGAAGCAAAATCAGCTACGAAGAAGACCAAAAAACTGAAAGGGAAAAATAAAAATAAGAAAGATGATGAGGATGAAGGTAAGAATTTAAATTTAACCAATACCATCAACTTTCACAACTTCTAAATGTTTTAGATGAGGTGAAACGAGAACGAGATCCTGCCGCCGAAGCAGCGACCATATTTGTTGGGAATCTGCCCATAAATACGAAACGGGTTCAACTTGTGCGCCTGCTGCAGCCTTTTGGAACCGTCCAATCAATTCGCCTACGTACGGCTGGTGGCAAACAGCTGTTCAAACACAAGCAGCGCAAGGGAGCAGGATCCTTGAATGCCTACGTGGTACTGAGCAGTCCAGAGATAGCTCTAAAAGCGCTGGCGTTAAATGGTATGGAATTTAAGGAGAATCACTTGCGTGTTACGCCGGCAGCGAAGTCCAAAGGTGGAGTCGAAGCTTCTGGCAATGATCAAGCATTCAGCGATGGCGACGTCAAGCGAACCGTATTTGTAGGCAATCTAAAATACTGTACGTAATTTTTTAAGAAATATTGTTTTCTTTATTTAATCAACATTGCTTGCAGCGGCCAGTGAGCAGAAGCTGCGAGAGATATTCTCCAGCTGTGGCGAAATTGACTACATCCGCTGCCTTCAAGACGGCGAGAAGGGCTGCAAGGGTGTGGCGTATGTTTGCTTCCAAAAGCCAGATGCTGTTGGCCTAGCACTGGAACTCAATGAGACCCTCTTGGATGATAGACCGATACATGTGGAACGCTATTCGCTGAAGAAACTGGGAGCCAAGCAGGCACGCGATTCTGCTGCTGCCGCAGCGGGGCCGCAATCTAAGTCCAAATTAAAGCTAAATGCGGCAGGAGCTAAGAAGCGTATAGACAAAAGGGAAAGGAAAGAAAAGGCAAAAGCTCAAGAGCCCGCCAAGTCCGCAGCTGGAAAAAAGAAATCTGAATATCGAGGTGTTAAGGTTGATGCAATCAAAAAGAACAAGAAGCCAAAAAAGAAAACGAATAGTCAAATGAATGCGCTTGCGAAGAAAATAGCGCCAATTACCAGTAAATGAACTGCATCAATTATTTAGGAACGCCCAATTTTGATTTGAATTCATATTTTAATCATTTTTGTAAATATTTTAGTGATACCCAAACCAATATTTTTTGTTTTTGATTTTCTTTGATTGCTAAAAATATTAATTTTTTAACAAGTTTTTTATAGTTGACTTTTAACTTACAATCATCATAAGTCAGTCATGATTGCTGAAATAAATTACAGGGTGTGTAATAGTCGTGACTTGATAAACAATAAATTCTGTCAATGAAACGAAACGAAGAATTTTAGTGACGTCCCAAAAACTATCGGGTGAATATTGTGCGATACAGTAGAAACAGTAAAGCGATATTCAAACAATTGAGCAATATGTTAGACACAGGTATCGTTATGTAACATCTTACATCAAATTATGAATACGACCAATAATACTGTAAGAAGACTGTTGTACAGCGTCTGTACAATTGAATGTAACTATATCTAGTAGCCACAGCAATGAGCTTGTCATCGAGAACGATTACTTTTGCTTCAGTCAGCTGTTTACTACTTGGCTGTGTTCATTTACAAATTTCGAGTATTTAGTCTTTTGAATATTAAAAGTTAGAGGTAAGCTGGGCTTATGCAACATTTGTCAAGAGTCGAAAAAATACACATCCACGAAGAATGAATGTATGTAAAAATTTCAAGTACATCCGAGTTGCTCGTGATTGTCTACGCAACTTTACTGGACGTGTGACAACACCAAAATCGTTAAGCAATACATTCATTTTTGAACCGTTGCAACAGCGAGAGCTTATTCGCGTCCATGGTGCGGAGGTGGTGCCATTTCTGCAGGGTCTTGTTACCAACGATGTGTCGCGCATGGAGGAACCCAACGGACCATCATCAATGTATGCGCTATTTCTTAACCGGAGCGGTCGTCTACTGTACGATACAATTATTTATCGAACCAATGATCCGGATACATTTTTATTGGAATGCGATAGAGATGCATCGTCGGATGTCCGACGTCATCTCCGCACATATCGCGTACGGAAGCGGATCGAAATCGACACCATCGATGATGAGTATATACCATGGGTGATGTTCAACAAGAATGGCAACGGAAATGTACAAGTTCGCACAACAAAAGACTTGTTTATATCGCCTGATCCACGTATCCATACTATGGGTACGCGAGTCTTGGTTCCCGGCGATATTAATGTCAACAAGCTAACGAAGGACTTGTGGTGCAATCATGATGCCGTCGCCATCGGTGCCACGCCCGAGTGCAATTATAAACTGCTACGCTACAGACAAGGCATCGGGGAGGGCGTTAAAGAGTTACCTCCTGGCAAATGCTTCCCACTGGAAGCTAACGCCGATTATCTCAATGGTGTTAGCTTCAGTAAGGGCTGCTATGTGGGTCAGGAGTTAACGGCTCGAATTCATCACTCTGGTGTCATACGCAAACGTTATATGCCTATTCGTTTCACGGCTCCCATTACTAACCAATTTACAGTCAAATCTGCGGCAGGCGCAAATGTGGGACGTGTCTTTGGGCATGCTCACAAGCATGGCGTCGCTCTGCTGCGCATCCAGCCTGTGCTTAACAGCGAACAAGAATTGATGGTGGACGGGGATCGTTGCTATGTGGATCGACCACAATGGTGGCCCAAGGAGGAAGGTTTCAAGCGCAGTTTTGCCGTGGACTAAGCATTGGAAACTTGAATGCCTTTTAAATTGTTTATTATTTTACCTTGTACCTACCTATTGTAACTATGAGCTAATTACTAAAGTTGTGCTGTTATTAGCCTAGTTGTGGCTTTCACTTTTGCAGTGCTCACTATGGCACAGGATTCGATCGACTACGCCTGCATTGACGACGATGATCTTTGTCTCGACAACGAGGCGTCGGAGATTAATCAATTACAGCTGGCAGCTCTAAAAGAGCCGCAGGCACAAGAGGATGTAGATGAACGTCTGGCCACAGTCGAATTTCATTGCAGCGGTTGCAATATGCACGAGATGGTGCATTACTATGGACGAACGCCGCCGTTTGCTCTAGGCATTAAATTTCGTGAAGACAGCTTTGTGTTACGAGATCCTTTTCAAGCGCCGCCGCCTCGTTGGCAATCCAAACCAGAGTTTTACGTAGCATTGGGCGTAAAGTGCGCCAGCTGTGGGAAAGTTGTGTGCAAGGATACGTCATGCAGTTTCTATTATACAAAAACCTTTTGCCTGGAATGTGGGAAGACCGAACTCAAAAATTGGCCTGTGGAGGCGCAAAGTCGACTTCGAAAGCAGCTGGCGGCCAAAAAACCGTAGCCATATAAACTCTGAATTCTTAGCTATAAAAGAAGTCTTAATTATACATATATATATATACACACGCATTTTATTTTCATTTTTGTTTTTAAAACGGTAAAATCTACCTCACAAATCGTAACGAGCAAGTTAAACAGCTGTTAAGTATACATTAGCTATCGATGCCACTATTCGATATATTTTATATCGCGAACCCGCGATTAACGATAGGTGGCATAAATTAAATAATAGTATCGAAATATCGATTTTTTTAAAGAGACAACAATCATTTGCTCATTCATTCAATTCGGAAGCGAACGTCAACCAAGTAGGACGCTATCACTGCGTACTTCACATTGTTGACTGTATATCGTGTTTATTGTGTTTGTGTTTAGCTGTTATATTGAATGAAAATGTTCAATTAAGTGTAGTGTTATGTGTTAGACTGTAATTTTATAAGTTATATGTTGTCAATTCAGTGTTTAATAAAACGCCTGTCAATGCAGTTCATGAGAATTTGACATTTAAATCTGTTATAACAACAACAATAAAGGCGACTGCAGGCAAAAAATTGTGGCACTGTGGCGGCGGCTTGTTGGCGTTGCGGCCGCTTGTAGACCAAATTCGCGGACGCGGACGCACCCACCCAAATCCAAAACCAAAGCCCCAATTCCAATTTGCTGTGTAACTTGGCGCAAGTGCTTGTGTCTGTGCCTTTGTGTGTGTGTATGCGCGGGCGAGGCAGGGACAGGAGCATGGGCTGCCCAGCCGGTTTCGTTGCGCGAGTTAATTGACAAAAAAAAAATAAGCAAACATACATATACATATATCGGCTAATAAAGCATGCAACAACAATCGAGAAACGCTGCAAACAAATGCTTAAGTGTTTGTGCATGTACAAACACACACACAACTATATGCATGTTCGTTGTGTGTGTGTGTAGGTTTTCCACTGGAGCAGTCCCAACAACCCATCAACAACACCAACAGCAGAGGTTCTTGCAATAGTTCTATAATTAGCACGGAGCTAGCTCAACGATTAGTTCCCACAACAACGCTTCAACTTAATCAACCATACCCGCCCACGCATTGAGTAAAGCCATGCAACGTCCGGATCTGCTTCAGTTGACCATTCTTGTGTACCTTTGCTGCTGGTTGACAGTTAATGCGCACAACTGCCAGCATCAACATCCCAAAGCCCACGAGGTGAGTAGCAGAACCTGACACCCACCCACACAACGGTTGATTCGCCTCAAAATCCTTTAGCTGCTGATTTACAATTTGCCATTGTTCGCTTTGGCCTGTGTGCAAGTGTGTACGTGTGTACGTGTGTGGGTGTGTGTGTTTGGGTGTATGGCCTAAGCCCTTATTAAACGTTGACTCATTAACGAATTCGGGAAAAACTTATAATTGGTTTCAAATGCACTAATTAGTGCGTTTAAGCAAATTATAAAGTTATCAAAACATTGCTACTTCCCCGCAAATTAATTCTTGCTATTTTCTTCATACCCATCACAATCTAGTTTCCGGTATTTGATTTCACTGGCAACAGATTCAGATGCGTGAACAACTGATTCATGTGAACAACTCAATTAGCTTCGATTGTTCTTAGAAAAACCAAAGTTCTTATAAGAAAAATTCTCAATATTTTCAAAGTGCTTGGAACTAGTTCTGAAATGAGTTTGAACTGGTTGCGAAAAGCGGCAAGAATCATAAATTATTGAATGCGTTTCTACTCTAACAAATGCTGTTGAAATCTGATTTATATACATACATACATACATACATACATACATATATATATTTGCAATTTTGACAAGCTCGGTTCAGTTCAGTTCGGTTCGGTTCTCACGCACAGCTTCGCGTGAAGCTGACGACTGATGGATTGACTAAGCTCATTTGGTAATCGCATCTGATTCATATGATTCAGTTCGGTAACATGCCACGGCCTCTAACGGTATTCCAGTTACCGAGTCGCCCACAGCTCAAGCCGAGCGCGTGGCTCAAACCGGCTGTCGCCCGGTTTAATGTCCGACACCTGTTGCGTCGACTCAATGGCCAAGTGCAACGCCTGCCTGCAACGTCGTTCTAAATGCAGCCGACATCCATTTTAATTGGCGCACTCGCATAAAAAGAACAAAAACAAATAAAAAGGTCACCAACAATTGCGGTAAAACGAATAATTTACATAATTGTTATAGAGCTCAATCCGATGCTGGCTGTGACCGGTTCAGTTACTCAGAATTGTATTGAATCATGTAAATATATACTTATGTATATATATATTTATATTTTATATGCATTGCAGTTAAATCAGAGACCGTAGAAAGCGACTCAAATTGCAGGGCAATTAAAATGACTGCGAACGCTTTAATGCCCTGGAATTTTGAGTTTGCCTTGACAGGCTTTACTAAGATGACAAAATAAATAGTCGTTATAGACTTATATATGGTTATTGTAAATATAAATATATGCCCAAAATAGCTCTACGTGTCAAATCTACAAAATCTATATCCCAAACTATTATGCATCTATTTAGACTGAGTTTTGACAGAGGGCTTTAATATATATCATGAAGTTGATGGGTTTGTGAGGTGAGTTTAACGAACTGTGCCTGATTCATGAATAGAACTATCAGTTTTTAGCAATATAAGTACAATATATTCGTAACTCATTCAGAGCGAACTTATAGAGGGAAGTCGATGGTGACATAGAGCTTTGTTACAAAGCAATGCTCACAATTTATTACAGGGTAGAGCCCAGCCACCCACTAGGGTCACATTCTGTTACAGTTTTTCCGCATAACTAATTAATTTAATTATTTGTAAGTTGAACTGTTTAATATGCAGGCAATCCGCCGCATTACCCCGCCGCAATTGCTGTTCGCCCGGATCCTGAGTTATGCGCTGATTGCTCGGATTTATAAGAGTATGTAAATGTGGATATAAAAGCGGGCACTGTTGGCGACTAAGTGCCAGCCGTTTGTATACCCCGCCCGTCCATCCGTCCGCCCGCCCGTCCATTCGCCCATCCGTCCAGCCATTCCAATCAAACACAGAGCTCAGTTTTAATTAGACTTAAATGAATTGAAACAGGGAAAGGCAGCAAATTGAATCATCTCTATCTCGTTACTCAATGCTCTTGCCACTGATAACCATGGAGATAAAGAACAAAGATAGAGAAGAGAGATAAAGATGATGCTTATGGGTTTTATCGCAACTGAGATAATGAATTCATTGTGAACAAATAAGTATTTGCGTTAGCTTTCTTTTATTGGACTTACCTTAGAAACCTGTTTGCTTCACATTTGATTTACAGCTATATTTATATATTTAGAATCACCTTATTAAATCGTATAGATGTAATTGAGATATAATTAACGTATTTTGCCTGCATTCCTCTAATTTGTTATTGTTTACAGAAGCCATTGCGTCGACTCTATAAATAAAACACAATCCATATATGTAACTAAACTTCTATTGTGCATTCAATGACAGGCAAAAGTAGCTTAAGACCTCTTAAAAGGTTATCTCGAGTCTGGTCAATAACAAACTTGGGAGGTTATTGGAGCTAGCATCTTTGACCTTCAATTTTGTGCACAGGTTTCTGTTTTTGTTTACCTTCATAATTGGCAGCAGGTTACAGATTTGCATACACATACACATACACACAGACACACACGCTCGCACTTAAGCATATATGAATTTTTAATGTGAGTGTGAGTGTGTGCATCTGTGCGTCCTTGCGTTGCAAATGGAAAGTGGAAGAAAGATTTGTAATCGCAATTGCAGCTGCACAAAATTACATTTGAGCTTTTGTGTGGAATTTCTCTACTCAACAAACCTTTTGATACTCTACACAGGCTTTTATAAATAAGTGTGAATTACATAGAGGCACGTATACCTGCCTGAGAAATAGTCTAAAACTAAATGAATTCTTTCATTGTTGGGCAAATTTTCAACTCACTTCTGTTACATGTTTCACTCCTTAGAGCATTTAATATTCGATATTGGAAAACTAACTGTTCATTCTTGTTATATATACACCGAATGCATATATATATATATATATATATATATATATATATATATATATATATATATCTATATAGTGCCTAAGCTCATTGAAGGCGTTGTGTAAACAAGCGGGCAAATACACAAGTGCAAACGATAAAATCGCACAACCTATCTCCAGCTGATGCTGTATGTATGTGTGTGAGTGTGTGTGTGCGTGTGAGTGAGTGTGTGTCTGCGAATTGACAGAGAAACAAGTTTGTCGAAAACCACAGAGCAAGTCAGCCAGTTAGTTGATTATGCTACATAGCTAGAGGCTAATTTTGAAACACACGCCAGACCAATATTATGAATTAGCGCTTTATTTATTTACATAGCGAAGATAAAACGCAACAAGATGACCGAAAGTGACAACTGTGAATGATGCAAAGTGTTTGGCTTAGTCCAGAGTCCAGTGTAATAATTAAAGTAGGTGGCAACCTTGAACAAACACATTACTCTCTCCCGCTCTCTTTTCCTCTTTCTTTCTTTCTTTGTCATCTATTCACTACACTCTCGCTGCCTAATCTTCTGTTCAGCCTGTATTCGGACTACGCCCCCTTAACTGTGATACAATGGGAAATTGCAAAATGAATTTATACGCATTTCCAGTGAACTTCAAATTGGATTTGAGCCTGTTCTCAATTACTCTCTGGGCTTTTGCACTGCTGTAATGCTACGTGCCGCTCCACGTACATGACGGATATGGATACTAAGTGCTTTATGCTAACGCACAGTACATACATATTCATGCATACATGCAAACAGAACTGCGGGCTGGGGCCCTACAAATGTAATAATCAACAGCCATCCGATTCTATTCAATTTACTTACGCCTGTTAGCCACACAAATTGAAAATAATTCATTCTAGAGATTGCCACTGACAGAATAGTGCGTTACGTTTATGTATGTCGCTTGGCAACTGCATGCATTGTGTATGTGTGTGTGCGTGTATTGATGTGGTTATTTTATTAATGTGCCTTTGTGTTTTATTCATGATTTTAATTAAGTAACATGTCCGCTGTGGTCACAATATGAGGTAACAAACAAATTGAGCGCGAGAGAAGCAAATAAACCATAAAGTAGCACAGCATGCAAAGTAGCCGCTGATCAATAATGCATGTACAGACACACACACACACATATATATATATATATATATATATATATATATATACGCATTTGTGTGTTGGTAAAAGAAACAATTAAAGTGGCCAGGGATACAGCAGAGATTGAACGAAAGTGAAAGCACATGTACACAGCTATCGCACTGTCTCGCTCACTCGCAGTCAGTCAAGCTTGAAAGCGTCGATTGATCTGGCCGGCACTGCGGAAGAGCGCCAAAGTGTTGACAAAAAAGTAAAGACGTGTAGAGGAAGAGAGGGAGAGACAGAGAGTGCGAGTGAAATGTCGTCATGGATGGCCTGGCTTAGTGAACGATTGACAGATTGACTGCGCGTCGCACGTAAATAATTACTTAACATAGCGCCCGCTCGTCTCTGCTGTTGATCGATTCACCTGCTCAAATTAGCATGCGCAACTGTTAAGTGCCCGGCGCCCGCTGCTCAGCCCGGCGCATGCGTGCAGCAGATCGTGTTTACGGTTTATGGGCGTTTTTTTATTCGTTTGACTAAAAATGCAAAGACGGGAGTCAGCCAGGCGCAGCAAACGGTACATTTCTCTTTTTTGTTTGCCCCCACTATTCGCACACCTCTTTCCCCCTATTTCTATCGCCTAAGACGTGAGTCTCATTGGAAGCCTGGACACGCTCGACTGTGACACGCAAAAATAAATTTTGTTAGGTAGTCGCAATTTGTGAACTACTTGAGCATTACGTCTTATCTCAGATTGAATAAGCATATTTGCTGTGGTTAGAAAGTGTGGCGGCTGCTCCTGCACCCATTCCATAATCATTAATCTTCTTTTTATCAACATTTTTCTCCTAATATATTATATATATGAATGGTAAAAGAGATCGGGTAGATAGTGTGTGCAGAAGCCAAAACTGTAGACTTTGCATGGAGCGAAGTATGCAAACAAATTATATAGTCATTAGCGGCACAAGCTTTAGGAGCAGCCATAAACAAATTTTGAGATCTCTATCTGTTTAGGTACTCGAGTTATATGCAAATAGCCTTTTAATTGATATTAAGGAACATAACTGAGATTGCTCATCATTCAACTACAATTTGGATATAGAAATTTGAATGTAAACTTAATACAGTTCATGAAATTTACAATCTGAGTGGGATAAGTCATATCAATCAGTAATCATCAGTGATCATAGAAGGACTTTTGGTAGTATATATATATCACTTAGGATTCTTGCAAAATTTACACCTAGCTAGGGTCATTCCATATAGAAACAGATGCCAATCTTTCCGTTTGAATGAATTAAAATGATTATTATTTGGACTTGAAATGTCGAGTTTGTAGGGAAATGCGCCAAGGTCAAGGCCAAGGCATATAAAATATGTTTCATTTATATTTATATTTTCAAAAATATAAAGATTGTTTAAAGGTAACATTTATGCTTAAAGCTAATATTTATGTAAGTTGAATTATGTTTCTAACAGCAGTTCTGTGAGGGGCATCCATTGGAAGTGTCCTTACCTTTGAAGTGTATTTCTGAATAAGCGAATTAAACTGCAATTTAACGATATTAAAGAAAATAAAATAAATTCGTTTATGTTGCTATGGCAATTTGCTGCTTAATTAAATACAAATTCAATCGAAAAATAAACATTGCATTTTTGTGTGTGGGTATTTGTGTGGGTGTATCTATCTGTATCTGTGTCTGTGCCTGTATCTGTATCTGTATCTGTGATAAGTGAATATTTGTTTAATGCATAAGAATTGAAAGTAATTTTTGATAGCTTCTTTAATAAACTGTCAATTACAACCACTGCAAATGTCTTTTGTGTATAAATCCATAATAATATACATATATACATAAGCATATTTAATGTTTGTCAATTATCTTGAAAAGTCTTCGTTAAAGCTGTTTTCGCAGCTGTTGTTCGCTGAATTTCAGTCCTATTGTTGCAACATTCGACAAGTTTGAGAAACAGTGGGGCAAGATACAGATTAAATGCATTAAAATCAACATTTTGCTTTAATGATAACACTTCAACACTTTTTCAATTGATCAATGGACGAGGTTGACTAATCTAGTTAGCCCTATCAAGAACTATTTGCAGTCAGCAAAATTTATTCATAAAAATTACGATTTAATACAATACAAATAGCAACATTCAAGATATATGTATAAATAAATTACTATGGCCTCCTATAGGATTTTGTTAAGGACGCCGAAGAATTCATTTGACAGACCAAGGTATTTTTGATGTACCACGATGTGTGCAGACCATATACCCCATCATCTACTGGAAATCGGCTGAGAATGTCCAGTTCATTCAGATTGAACCGAATCAATCGAATATCAGTGTTGGCCTAAAGATGTAAACCAAGTAAAATTGATGAATAATCAAGAACAATTTCTCCAAATACCAGATAGGGGCAGCTATGGTTAAAATTCGTATACGCCTTCATATAGTTATAAATGATGGTGGTCAAAGGATTCTTAAAGGTGCCGTCAAAAAAATGGCATATGTCGACCGTCATGGCATATAGGAAGGGATGCCAACCTCCCCGTTCACGCTTCAGAAATCGAAATGACATTTTAGCCTGAAAACGAATATTTAATATTTATTTTAATAGATTTATTGTTTGTAAATAAATATGCTTACTTTTGTTACAGTTTTCTTGAGCTTGACTATAATATTTATGTAATTTTGAGAGTGATTAAACGCTCTAATGCGGCACTCCTGCTCAGCTAGAAGGTTCCTGTCTATAACATCGCAATCCATACTCAGAAATTTAAACACACATCCCACCTATACGCAGCAAAAGTAGGAATAGTGTTTTATTTGATCGTTGGAATTCTGTTAACTTACCAAACTTATTTTTATAACAAATAATATGATTATCTGTGCGCATCCCATGTTCACGAATCAAGCGAAATATTGTATCTATTTGTATAATCGGCTGGTCTCGTAATTACGATTAGCTAAAAAAATGTGAAAATGTAATTAGTCATTAAATCAATTAAGATACTAAATTATTTGAAAGCTTATTGCACTGTAGAGATTTTTGGTGATTGAATAATATATCAGATACTAATATATTTGGATTAAAGCTAAAAAGCTCAGGGTATCTGCTAGTCGGCTAATACAAACTACAGAGAACTCTTCCTTAATATGCGAATTTAATGTCATAATGTAGCAAGTGAATCATAAATGAAGCCTAAAATTTAATTCTAGAAAATTTATATAAATATTAACATTAAATTGAAGAACAACATTGTATATATATATGTGTGTGAGTGTGTGTATGTATATATTTAGACATATACTTAAGTATTACTCATGATGCTTTAAAATCATACATTTAAAAACTTGTTTATTCATTTCAAATGCAACTATTGAAAATATATTTGATGTACAAAAAACTCTTCAATACGCAGATAATTTCAATGTTTGTCAATAGTATTGAAAAGCCTTCAATAATAGCTGTTTTCCCAGCTGATGTTCGATGGATTGCAAAGCCGATCGCAGTTCGTGTTGTTTGCAGCATTCGAAAAGCTTGACAAACAGTGGGACAAGACGCAGATTGAAAGACACTGAAATCAAACTAAAACTAAATCAACAAATTTTTTTAATTTTCTGTATATATATATTTTAAATTAAAAAAAAAAAAAAACACAAATTAAATTTAAATTTAAATAAAATATTTTGTATTTTTGTAAAAATAAAATAAAGTCTATGGCTTTCCATAAGACTTTGTTAAAGTTGCCGAGCCGTTAATTTGAAAGCTCAAGGTGTTATTAGAGTACCATGATGTTTGCAAAGCATATAACCCATCCTCAAGAGGAAATCGACTAAGAATGTCCAGTTCATTCAGATTGATCCGAATCAATCGCATATCAGTGTCGGCCTAAAGAAGTAAACCAAGTAAAATTGATGAATAATCAAGAACAATTTCTCCAAATACCAGATAGGGGCAGCTATGGTTAAAATTCGTATACGCCTTCATATAGTTATAAATGATGGTGGTCAAAGGATTCTTAAAGGTGCCGTCAAAAAAATGGCATATGTCGACCGTCATGGCATATAGGAAGGGATGCCATCCTCCCCGTTCACGCTTCAGAAATCGAAATGATATTTTAGCCTGAAAACGAATATATAATATTTATTTTAATAGATTTATTGTTTGTAAATAAATATGCTTACTTTTGTTACAGTTTTCTTGAGCTTGACTATAATATTTAAGTAATTTTGAGAGTGATTAAACGCTCTAATGCGGCACTCCTGCTCAGCTAGAAGGTTCCTATCTATAACAGCGCAGTCCAGATTCAGAAACTTAAACACACATCCCACCTATACACAGGAAAAGTAGCAAAGTATAGTCCCAAAAATTGGATTAATGTTAACTTACCAAGCTCATTTTTATGAGAAATAACATAATTGTATATGCGCCTCCCATGTTGACGAATGAAACGAAATATTGTATCTATTTGCATAATGGACTAGTATTGTAATTACCATTAGTTAAAAAAAATGGTTAAAAAGTAATTAGTCAATAGATTAATCTTAAAAGAGACGAAACTTTTTTTTAACGCTATTAACTATAGAGATTATTGGAGGTTGAATACTATATTATATACTCATATATTTTTATTCAACTAAAATCGATCATTATAGTGCTAAGGGTATCTGGTAGTCGGCTACTACAAATTACCGAGAACTCATCTTTAATATACGAATTTAATTTCATAACGAATCAAGCGAATCTTAAATTAAATCCAAAACTTTTTGCTTTTGATGTAGTCTTATTTAATATATTTGATATTGGGTAATAATATCATACAAATGTTTAAACAATAAAATATAAAATATGATTTTGATTATTTATTATTCATTATAGTAAACACAGACTTCAAAACTAGTTTCGCACTGAACAAAATACTTTACTTTCGCGCCACTGTGGCGTGATTGAAAGACAGTTGCTAGCTTACGGCATGGCATCGACACTGGCGCTACAAGCTTGCCACATGTTGCACAGCTGGGTCGTTGTGGCAGCATCAACCAAGCGCACTGTGCGTCAGGTGCTGCGGCTCATCTTTCACCTGGTGAATGCCGCAATTTGCGAGATTGAAAGCAGTTAAACGCATTTCGATGCAACACAGTTCGCAATGCGAAAACCACAAAATGAGACGCAGCTTTGGCTCCATGAAAGGGGCAGCGGGCGTGGCTGCGGCAGCCTCTCTGATTGAAGATCATGCAAATGGCTGCTCAATTGTTGAGGGCCGTCACGATTTCAGCTCTAGAGTCTCTTTGCAATGTTTGTTCTTTTGTTATCTTAATGATTTTCATACGTTCAGCATTTGCGCATACTCGTTCGCACGCTAAAAGGAGTATATTACGGTTTAAATAGAAATGCCAAGGCAACGCCAGCTACTGCTGCTATCTAGTTAGGGTTGAGTTCTATAGGTTGACATAAAACTAGATATATGGACCCCCCGGAGCGTGGCAAATTATTTATTTTTATTTTCCTGTGTTAAAGCTAGCATCAATTATTTGAGGACCAACAACGAGTATTACGCAGTCGAATATGCTCGACTGCAACGCTCTTACTTGGTGCTGCCTCTGTACTGCGCCGTTGCTTGTTATCTTATTCTCTTCCTCTTTACGATCATTCCTTGCTTGCTGAACAGACAAATATAGATAAATTGCTGTTATTGTTGAAGAGATCGTCCAAGTAACTGGATATATATACACCTATAAGCATGTTTATATAAGCTCAAATGCTGTTTATACACTTACAGTGGGCCATTATAAATTTATTACGCTTCTGCGAGCATTCAGATAAAGCTTAATATATATAGTTCTAAATTTGTATTGAATGTGTTGGCCAAGCTTAACACTTGAGTAGATTTTTACCAATATTAATGGAACTATATCATATCACTTTCATTCAGTGAAATATATCAGTCATAAATTGATTTGAATAAAAACAAGTGAAGGCCCGTCGACTATGGTTTCTTAGAAGAGTATGCACTCGTCGGCAGTTCACTGAACAGCTTTTCTCTGCGGCTATGCAGATTGTGCAGGTGTCTGGGCGCCCGTCGGGCTTGGCGGCATTAAGAATTCACAGCGAGTCGAATCAATTCGCACGACCAATTGCAAATTGTAGAATTAAAGTAATTGGAAACGGAATATCGCCTTGTTAACAACGTTAATTGTTCAGATTGCTCAGATTTGAATTGTTATTGCTCGCAGCGCGCACTTCATTATATACAAGAAACCAGGTAATAGCTTCATATCATATGCAAAGTATTTCACTTTTGTTTGTGGTTGAAAGTGAACTAACTTTCAATCTTCATTGCTGAGGTCTTGGTCTAGCTGGACTTGTAATTAATTTCTGTATACCCTGTGGAATACTAAGACGGGCATAGTACAGATTGATCATGTAGTTATTGACTTGAACAGCTATCGATAAATATCGACTTGTTATATGACAGGCAAGGCAACTCAGGAGCAGGCTTATCTATGTAGCTGTGTTGCTATTTGTGTATGAATCTATATATTTTAGCAGTAGAATCTGCATCTGTACCTGTGTATCTATATCTGTCACTGTAGCTATATATATATATGTATTCATAGTTCTATAATTTATCTGCCATTGTAAAAGTATCTGACTCTACCTGTAGCTTTTACTTCAGCTGTATCTGCATGTTTGTTTGTATCTAAATCTCTGTCTAAATTTATGTATCTACCTGTTTCTACCTATGCATTTGTATCTGTATCTGTATCTATTCTTATTTCTGTATCTACAGTAAAACCTGAATCCCTATCAGCATCTGCATCCAGATCTTTATCTGTTTGAAATCAGTTCTAAGCAGACAGGGTATCTGTGAGTCGCGCACACTTCGACTAGAGCAGTCAGGCGCATCTGAAAGATGCGCCACACAAATTTGTGAGCATAGGCGTTGCGCGTGCTGTTGCCCGGCCAGCCGACCATAAATTATAATAGATAAGCGTCTAAATGGTTTGACATGGTCTTTTGAATATTCAACGGGGTCTAATTTATGCACAATAATTGGCACACATTGCACAATGGCCGAAACAAAGGCAATTTTTATAAAAATACGGCAATAAAATAGCAAATGCGAAATAACAAAACCGAATGGCCAAAAATCCACCAATCATTGACATTTTGATGTCTCAATCAGTTCGACATTTTGGCGGGTAATTTAAAAATTAATTTCACTGCAATTTATCCAGCAAAAAGTGAAAAAAGAAGCCAATTACGGCTGCCTTTGTGTGTGGCCTTTTGTGTCCATGTCGTCATCTAATTGTTGGCCACATTTTCGCTTTCGTTTAACAAACATTTTGAAGCAGAGCCCAATTTCACCTCTCCGCCCTCCTCGTTGCAGGTCATCCACGGCGTGCGCATACACGATGATAATGAAGTTGTTGATGACGTCGCCGGCGAACATTCGAAGGGGAACTGGAAAGGCAGCGGGAACCCGGCGGCTCACAGCGTACGACGGCGCAGCCTTGTGGCCGATCAACCGCTGCGGATTCTGCTCGTCTACGATGATTCAGTTTACAGGTGAGCCATTGCTGTAAAGCCGCAGCGGAAAACAATTGCAGCCAGATGTCGGTCGAGCATAGCCGACTACGCCTTACTCTGTCTGCAGTATCAAGGGGATCTGAAGGAAACATTTGTAAACTCTTACGGCAGACCTTACTGTATTGACTCCCAAACTGTGCCGCTGAGTGACTGTCATACTCTATGTATATATATAGCTGTGGCACAGCGCGCAGCCAACACCAATATACCCCATTTGATGCCTTGCCAACAGAGTGTAGCAAACAAATTGGCTTTAATTGCGCTTTAATGGGCCAAAGTTTACCATTCGACTTGGCCGAATGTCAAGTTAAGCGTTGCCGAAGCGTTAGCCAGTTGTCTTTTTGTATTGGGCAACACCTGTGGCCAAAAATTGGTTGAAATTAACGCTGTCTCTGCTTAAGGTAGACCGCGATTGCGACATGCCATAACTTGGCTCTGATTGAAAATTTCAACCGAACAAAGTCGACGATTGCCGACGATCATTAACAATGCCAAAGCCCAAGGTCAATTCCAGGAATGACTAACGCAACAGCACCCATCGTGTACCCTATGCAAAGCAGGGCACATATAATATAATAGAGAGATATATAAATCAGACTGATTTTGTTTAAATTTACCTTTTTTCTTTGCTCTACTTCGCAGATTAGAGGAGGAGAAATTTAATTTAATCAATGTAAGTTTCCTTTTGTTTGTTTTAAAGTTAAAGAGAACCCCTCTCAAAATAATACTCAAATTACCTTTGCAGGATACTGTGCTGCCCGAGGCGGTGCAGTTCTGGGAGCAAGCATTGATGGTGCGCGAGACAAAGGGCGTCATACGGCTTAATCGGTGTGTAATAGCCCTTGTGTGACTAAAGTTTAACGCGAATTTCGCACTTATACATATGCATATATATTTGCTTACCTTTAGCAAATGTGATAGCACCCAGGTGTATGTGAAGAATGGCCACACCCACTGCATTGACCATTGCAAGGCGACGACCATGTGCGGCGAGGTGCTGGTGCCCAACGAGCATCTGGATGTGAGTAAAAAAGAGCAGTGAAACGCTTCTAAGTTTAAGTATTATGTGAAGCTTACACGGTAAATCCCACTTATCTGAACTATTTATCTATCTATTTATCAGGGTCAATCATTGGCTTGGTTAGATAATAAGACAATTGACTTGTCAATCAATCAGTCGGCAGTCGGCAGTCGGCAGTCGGTCAGTTGTAAGGTCAGAAAATCAGTCAATCAAGTGAGGCAGCAATTTGTCTTTGAATAGGTTATTTCATCAGTCGAGCTATTTAGTCAATCAGCCAGTGATAAGGTCGCTCAATCAGCCAATCTGTTAGCCATTCAACCTACTGTTAACTTGTTCAAGTTTGTCAGTCAATCAAACAAGATAGCCCATTTCTAGGCTAGTTAAAAAGTTACTCAATGAATCGAGGCGCCTTAAAGTCAATCAGGCCAACAGTCTGAGTGACTAGTAATTTAGTTAGTCACTTTAAAAGCACTTTGATAACGCTTTCCTGTCTCTTTCCCTCTCTCTGCTGACAGGTGTGCCGCGTGTGCAACAGCACGGGTCAGAACTGCCGCATTGACAGCAGCACAAAACCTGGAGAAGGCATCGAGAAAGCAGATTTCGTCTTTTATGTCTCGGCGCGGCAGACGCAACGCTGTTTCAAGGGTCTGACTGTGGCATATGCGGCTCATTGCCAGCAGGAGGCACTGCTGGATCGTCCCATAGCGGGGCATGCCAACCTGTGCCCGGAGAGCATCAGCACGAAGCCACAGGAACTGCAGACTTTGATATCGACAGTGAAACATGAGATTTTACACGCGCTCGGCTTTTCGGTGAGTCTGTACGCCTTCTTCAGGGACGATGAGGGGAAGCCACGTACACCGCGCAAGGCAGACACAGGCAAGCCCTATTTGAATGAAAAGTAAATGGGGGAAATGGTAAATAAAGGCCAGCGTTAATGTAAACTATCTTTAGATTGCAGATCCATCAGTGGAGCAACGAGACCATACGCAAAGTGGAGCGTCATAATTGGGCTGTGCGTGGAGGTCATGTGAAGAAAGTGGTCGACATGTTGGTCACGCCACGTGTGGTTGCCGAGGTTCGTGCCCACTTCAATTGCAATAAGCTGGAGGGTGCCGAGCTGGAGGATCAGGGAGGTGAGGGTACAGCCCTCACGCACTGGGAGAAACGCATACTGGAGAACGAGGCTATGACGGGCACACACACTCAGTCGCCTGTCTTTTCGCGCATTACACTGGCTTTGATGGAGGATTCGGGCTGGTATCGTGCCAACTACTCGATGGCCTCGCCGTTGACCTGGGGCAAGGGCTTGGGCTGCATGTTTGCCATGCGCAGTTGCAAGGAATGGATACAAATGAATCATGACAGGTGACTGATTAAATACTCACCCTCGGCTCATTCACTTATCTATCCATGTTTTGCATAGGGGGCGTTCCATACATCCCTTCTGCTCGAAAGTGAAACAGGATCCACTGCAAACGGAATGCACAGACGATCGCAATTCTGTGGCTCTTTGCAATCTCATCAAGCATGAGTACGAGCTGCCCAAGGCCTATCAAAACTTCGACAGTCTCAACAACATCAAGTCTGGTGAGGAGGGTTTCTATGGCGGCTCTGTTTCTCTAGCGGATCATTGTCCCTACATACAAGAGTTCACCTGGCGCAGCAAGAACATCATTGTGCGGGGCTCTCACTGTCGCTTTGTCGAGAATAATCCTAGTAAGACGTTCGATTGATTCGTTAATAAAAATGTAGATACTGATAAATTAATTCTCTTTTGCAGAGCCCGAAAAGAACTTTGCTCTGGAGAGCTACGGTCATGGTTCCAAATGCTTCGATCACAGCGAAGCCATGTGGGAGGAGCGTTCGTGTCACCAGACTCGGGAATGGCAGCACTGGGGCAGCGGCTGCTACAAATACAACTGCTTCGATGGTCGACTGCACATTCTGGTCGGCAACTATAGCTACAAATGCTCGTTTCCTGGCCAAAAGCTCTCCATACGCATCGCTGCGAATGGCTGGCTACATAAAGGCGCCATAATGTGTCCACCTTGCCATGAGATGTGTGGCGCCCACTTTGCCGCCGAAGGTAGAGAATGCCGCCCAAGCGAGGAGCCCGATCCACTCAACAAGTATCCGCGGGATAATCTTGCATGCGACGCTGATGCAAAGCGTCCATCTTTGGCCATATTCAGCGCTTTGCTGTTACCTGTCCTGGGCTATTTTAGACTTAATTAAGTCATCAAATCAGGCACAGTTCAATGTTCTATATGTGTTTAGAGAAATTTGTAAATTTATATGTGTACAATATGCTCAATTTATCTAACTGTAAGCTTTAGTTGTATTATCTATATTAATTTTTTATGTATAGTTATAATTGTATTTTATCCCCATATGTGATCTTTACTAAGGAAATGCTGAAACGTTATATTCGAATTGGGTCCAGGTAGGTGAAAAGTTTGCACTTGTAAAGGTTTTTTAAATATGACGTTAAAGCACAGCTCTTAAGTATTCCTCTGCTGCGCTGATCTAAACATTCCAAAGTTTTGCCACTTTTATTACTCAAACGGATTGTCGCAATCTCTATTGTTCTTTTTCAATTACGACGATAGATCTGATTGTGACTTATTCATTATTTTTTTATTTGTTATTACGTCTACAAAAATCTTTGTTATTTATTGTTTCGAAATTCGTTCGTTAATTCTCTTGTGATTTATATGTCGGCAATTTAGCCAAATCTGTTTCGGCTCGCGGTTGGCTAATTTTTTAGCATCCCTAGCAGCATTTAGGATCGATACAACCACCCGGAAGATTTTCTAATTTCCATATTCTAGTATCTAAGCTACATTTGTGAATAAAGTCTACTGTATATGTGAATATACCAAACAAATTGAAGTAATTGGACTCTTTATTGAAATACAAATGCACCACTTAAGGGCACTCCTCCACAATCTCGTATAACATCTCATTATCGGCCTCCGCTGCCAGTTCATCGTCGGACATGTTTTCATTTGTTGGATCTGTCGTGTCCTCTGTGACTCTTATACGCATGACTGCTGTGCCTGCTTTAGCCGGTTTTTTCACGCGTTTGGATCTGTGGATTATGGAAATGAAATATATTAAGTTTAGGTAATTTAATAGTCTGCCAACTTACGCTTCGGTCAGCTCCGTAATCATGGGCAGCAGTGTCGAACGCATTACACCTCGTGCCTCTTCTTCAGCCAGCTCTTTGGGATGCGTTTTGCGCTTGTGCATGCGACAATTGGAGCCATTCGAAAAGTCCTTGCCACAAAAGTTGCACTTGTAAGGTCTAATGCCCGTATGGAGTATCAGATGCGCCTTCAACGTTTTGCCACGCTTAAATGCAGCACCGCATACATCACATTTGTACTGTTTGGCATCCGTGTGAACCAACTGGTGCATATTTAGTGTGCGACGAGTATTTAGCTTTAAGCCGCAGATATTACACACGTAGTTGTTATTCGTATGCGTGTCGGAGTGTATCTAAAAGCAAAGTGGATCAGTAAGCATAGGTATATGACACATGGAAAGTAAATCGACGCTCACCTTAAGCCTGGCCTTGTTTTTGAAGCGCCTAAAACAAATCGGACATTCGAAAGGACACTCATCCGTATGCACCAGTTTGTGCTCGTTGAGGGCAGTGAGGGTCTTCATGCCTTTGCCGCAGCAGTCACAGATGTATGGCTTAACATTCTCATGGATGCACGTTACGTGCCGCTTGAGAGCTCCGGCTGTTGTGAAGAACTTAGGGCAGTAGGCACATGTATTTTCCGTCTTGTCCTTAGCATGCAAATGAGTACGATAATGGGCAGTTAATTGAGTTTCTGTTGCAAAGAAGGTATGACATCGCTTGCATTCAAGGTTATGTTTATCTGTAGGCACCAAGCCATGAATCACGGCCATATGTCGCTTGAAAGCCAATTGATTCTTATAGCCTTTGCTACATGATGTGCATTTGAATTGATTGTGTTCACTATCTGCATCCTCGTGCTCCGATATGGTATCAGAGACTGCCTCGGTACCTTTCTGTAAATCTTCATTTGTCGATGTTGTGGCAATTGTGTCAGTATAGTCTGTATTAGACTTAGGCTCCGGCACTGACTGTTCCTCATCTCTTTGATCCTCTTGTTCAACATACGCACTGTCTGTGATTAATTCTGCTTCTACGTATTCTTTCTCCACGTTCTCCTCTTGTTCAGTGGGTTCGGCGTATGTTTCGTAGGTATTGTCGTCATCATTCTCAGGATACTCTTCCGATTCTTCGATCTCGTTCATTATTTCGGCAGCTTCATCAATTGACTCGACCATTTCATCGACAATGTATTCAATTGCATCTGCTTCAGTCTTTTTAATCGTAGACTCCTTCGAAACTATATGTTTCCAGTCCTCTGCTTGCAGGCCACATTCTTTGCGTAATTCACTATAGTTTAAAGTGCTCTGTGACCCGGCCTGCTGCAATCTGCTGAAAAGGGTTTGAACACGACTCACACGATCGGAAAATTCGATTAGGTCCTCTACCAGCGTGTAGCATTCTTTGCATAAGGCGTTGCTCAGCTCATCCTCCATTTTGATCTGATAAATTGCAGGCGATTAGCGATGTTGTGATAGTGCATAAAATGGCCAAGACTTACGTTAACCCAAAAATATTTACCAATAGCCACGGCCAGCACGCTTGTCCACGTCTGATCATCGTTGCGGAAGTACACATTTACGTTGTCCGGATGCTCTTTGGCGCAGAGCCGACACCAGCGATGCCAACTAAATGCGTCTGTGCTCGTTAGGGACGCATTAGCGGCATCTCTAACAGCACTGCTACCCGTCATTATTGAAGTTTAAATAAAATGAAGGTATTTTAATAAACAAATCACTTTGTTGTGCTTGCATTCGATAGTCCTCGATAGTCGATATTCGAAATCGCTACACTCACTGTCAAAGTATTTATCGCCAGCCGTTTCTGTTATCGAAATGCAAAATGAAATTTTGTTATTTAGATTAGTTTTTATTTTCAGTAATCTTATAATGTGAAGGTTTTTGAAATATTTTTTAAATATTAAATAATAGTAATAATTATTTTAACAATGCTTATCTTAGTGACTTATAGTTGGTAGTTTTTAACTTCACCTAATTTTTAATATTTTCATATTTGATATTTAATAATTAATTTATGTTCGTTCATATGTATGTAGTTCTTAAATTAATATGTAATGACTAATCGATTTATAGTTTAATGTAATATTAAATTTAGACGAATACGAGTATTGGCTATGCGATTTCCACTTTGGGTATTTTTTGTGACCTATAAAAAAAATTGTGTTTTACTGTTTATATTTTTGTTGATACTACGTATGGGAACTTACATGACACGTAGCTCTTCCAGCGTAGGCACACTGAGCCGTGAGGACATACTTTCCCCTTCTTCCTTCGTTAGCTCCTGAGGATGCTTCTTTAGTTTGTGAGCGCGACAATTGGCATTGCAAGCAAATGTTTGGCCACAATAACTGCAAACGTAGGGCCGCAATCCGGTGTGGCTTAGCAAGTGGGTTTTGAGGGTCTTGGAGCGTTTGAAGAGAGCACCACACACATCACATTTGAATTTACGCTCCTCACTGTGCACCAATTTGTGCATGTTCCAGGTGCGGCGTGTCTGAAGCTTCTTGCCACAAATGTTGCATATGTAGTTGGGCTCCTCGTGGATTTGGTAATGAACCTTCAGTCGTGCTCTGTTCTTGAAGCCCGACTTACATATCGAACAGCTAAATGGACGATCCTCCGTATGAACTAGCTTGTGCTCATTAAGGGCCGTAATAGTTTTCAATTGCTTTCCACAGTGGTCACACACATAGGGCTTTGCATTTTCGTGCATGCCCTCCCGGTGTAGCTTCAGTGCTGCAGCCGACGATAGCGTCTTATTGCAGAGCTCGCAGTATGTGTTCTTATCCATCTTTGTGCGCTGCTTGATCTTGCGACACGCCACTCTTAAATGCTTCTGATAAGAGGCTGGATTGTGATATATTTTGCCACACCAATTGCACTTCATATTTCTGCGCTTACAGGGAATCTCATCAATATCCACCGTTTCGCTGTTGGGTAAATCTTCAAATTGCTGTTCTGCATCTGCAGAAGTAATTCCAGATTCGGAATGAAGCTCCACGTCTGCTTCAGCACTGCAAGAACGCCGATCCTTAGTATTGTCCGGTAGAACTGGTGGTACCTTGACTATGTCTTCAATGCTCACAGTTTTTTGTAAGGTTTCCGTCTTCTCTTTAAATTTGACTTTTCTTTTCTTCATTGTTTTAGTAGGAGGTTCAATTTTTTGCATTTTGGTAATTTTTCGTCGAGCGCGAGGCTTTATGGGGTTATTTTGGCCATCTACGTTGACATCCCAGTCAGCAACTAAAATTTCTTCGATGGGTAAATGATTGACGACCATTTCATCATCGTTTGACAATGGTTTTGGCGTTTCATCCGCCAAGCCGACGCCTAAGTCTATAAATTCCTGTTTTGGCAGCTCTGCCGCAAGTGGTTTTTCCTCGACAATAATTTGTTTTGCCATATTGTTCTCAAGTTCTGACACCGGTTTGATGATGTGCGTCCAGTCGCCTTCACGCAGTCCATACTGCTGACGTAGCGCTTCCATGTCGAGCTCTTTATTGGGCTCGGAGCGCCGTAACACTTCAAAGATGGCCTGAACCTTGGTGACATGCTCAGCAAAGTCAATTAGCTCACTAATCAGAGTATAACACTCTTTGCAAAGCACTCCGCCCAGTTCATCCTCCAGTTGCATCTAATTTGAAAATAATTTGAAAATAATCCTATACATAAAGCACTTCATTCGGTATTGTAACTTACATGAACATCAAAATATTTTCTAATGGCCATAACCAGGACACTATTCCAGGTGGTCTCATTAGCGCTTGTGTAAATCTTGACGTTGCCGCGTACGTCGTCTTTGGCGCAGAGACGACACCAATTCAGCCAGTGACCATCACCCATCGCAGCTTTACTGACTTTAATGTCTATAAACAATTTGTTTGTATTCTGGACATGTTTTGGCTACAAAAATAGGTAAACACCAAATTAGAGTGACCATATAAGCACATACCAATTTATTTGATTGTTTTGGTATTTTTTATATTTAATTCAAAATGCAAATTTTTAAGTCTTTTAAAACGTTTGTTTTTATTCAATTTTCATAGTTTTGGGTTTACGCAACCGTTCTCCTTTCTCCATGCCCGCAGCTCTGTAATTAAATATCAAATTTGTTAACTGTTTCTAAATTAGCTAAGTAATCTCTTACAAGGCACGCAGCTCATCTAGGGTAGGCACACTTTGTATTCGACACGATTTGTCAGCATCTTGCTCATATTCAAGTGGGTGTTTCCTAATCTTATGATCCCTGCAATTGGCGCCGCTGGCAAAGTCCTTGTTGCAATACTTGCAGCTATATGGCCGCAATCCTGTGTGACTCAGCAAATGAATCTTTAAGGCCGTTGAATTCTTAGTCGCAGTGCCACAAATACTGCATTTAAATCGTCGTTCGTTCGTGTGAACATTTTTATGCTTATTCCAAATGGCACGCGTTTGTAATTTCTTGCCACAGATTTCACACTCATAGCTGGGCTCGCCGTGTGTTTGATTATGGATCTGGTAATTAAGAACGTATATATAAATATATGTATAAAAATAATTACAAATCTTCTATTTACGTTGAGACGCTTTCTATTTTTAAAGGCTGCGTTGCAGATTGGACAGACAAATGGCCGATCGTCTGTGTGGACCAGCATGTGCTCTTTTAGCTCTGAAACCGTACGTACTCGCTTTCCGCAGACATCGCATACAAAAGGCTTCTTTTTCATATGCACACGCTCTATATGATACTTAAGTCCAATCTCCGATGATAGCTCCTTGTGGCACATGTTGCACGTAACTGCATATTTCTTAAATTGATTTACATTAGGATTAAATTTAACAGATGTATCTCCTTCAGCTTCGGGTCCTGGAGAAGCGAATAAGAGTCGAGCTAGCGCTACATTTTTACATTTAGAAAGGCTTTCGTCGTGCACGTCAATCATGCCATTTACTTGATTTTGCTTTCTGGGACGTCCGCGTTTTCTTTTAATGGTACTTTGATCGGACGTGAACAGCTCATCCTTCTTCTGTGGTTCTGCTATTGAATTTGGTGATGGCGGATTGTGGTCACCTGATTCTTTCCACTCCTCGAGTAGTTCCATTTTAACCGATAGCTTGGGACGTCCACGCTTTCTTTTTACTGCACCATTCAATGTTTTGCTCTTCTCTTCCAGGTGACAATCCTCAAGCCAAATATGATTTGGCATTAGTGCTTGGTCCACGCTTTCATAGGTGCTTGACAAGTCCTCATCCAAATCAATGGATGCTTCTAATTTTAAACTTGCCATTTCTACTTGCGGTTGCTCGCATGATTCGATGGGTAATATTTTTTTAGAGCCCTTAGGACGTCCACGCTTTCTTTTAACTGGAATTGGAGTTGGGGACAGAGTTAAGTCCAATTGATTATTGTTATCAACTTCTTGAAAATATATATGCCTCTCGCGCTCCAAGCTGTTTTCTCGACTGCTCTCAGCATCAGCCGGTTCTGTTTTGTAAGCACCCTCAGAGCCTCTATCCTGTAGCCCATATTGTTGTCTCAAGGCGAAGACATCGAGCTGTTCGTTTGGCTCTGTGTGGCGTAATAGCTCGAAGATGGGCTGCACCTTGTTTACGTTTTCCATAAAGTTAACCAGTTCGCCGACAATGCCATAGCAATCGCTACATAACATTCCACCCAGCTCGGGCTCCTCGTAACCTATCTATATTGCAGATTTAAAAAACGATTTTATATTTTTATATTGAAATAGCTCACTTCGATATCAAAACATTTGCTAATAATTCTCATATAGACATCTTTTTGGCGCACATTGACAGACGCATTGTCGTTGGCACACAGGCGACACCAATCCAACCAATACCGTTGCGTATTTATGTTTTTTATTTTTGTCATAGTTTTGCATAAATTAATAAATGCGCGCAAAATATAACTTTAATGTATATTTTCATTTCTATAAAGTAGAGTGACCAGACATGGTTGGTATTTGACTAACCATAGCGTCGTAGCAGCTGTTAGTGTGACCGCACTTTCGAAACCAGGGCTGCCGCGTAGCATTTTTATCGGGTATCGATACTTTTGTTTTTGTGATACCCAAGTGTTTTTACCTGGCTACGCTTGCGCAGTTTAAGACATTTGTTTTAATTGTTTGGCTTAATATATTCAAGGTTGAAGTGAATGTAAGTGGTAAACAAAATATGCGTGCGTGTCCAGATAATTATATTTAGTGATTATTCATTGCACCGAATGCAGTTTCATTGTGCTGCGTGTAACAAGATACATTTGATTGCTGCGTATACCATTTGCTGTTGCATTAGTGTGGGTTACACTGTTACATACAAGCCCTGGCTAGAGGCCAGCCTCAGCTCTAGCTGCTGGCCATTGAGCGCAAACCGCATTCCACAGAGCGGCGACCACTGTGCAGACCATCAATGAAAAAGGTGCGTTCCATCTAAACTGGAGTTGATTTATTTTTACCATTTTAAACTTAATCATTTAAACGCTTGCAGTAAGCGCCATGCATCACCATCATCCGCCATTGCCCATAATGAGCGCGGCAAATGCTGCTGTGCCGACAGCAGCGGCCACTTCTTCGCAGCCGCAGCAGCAACAGCCACAGCCGCAGCAGCCACAACAGCGGCGACGAAAAAAGCGCCCCAACTACGGCACACGCACTGTGGAGGTGCGCCGGGGCTATAATGGCTTCGGCTTTACCATATCCGGCCAACAGCCATGTCGCTTGTCCTGCATCATCAGTAATTCGCCTGCCGAACAAGCGGGTCTACGTGCCGGCGATTTTCTCATCTCGGTGAACGGCCTTAATGTGTCCAAGCTGCCGCATGAGACTGTGGTGCAGCTGATAGGCAATTCATTTGGCAGCATACGCATGCAGATTGCAGAGAATTACTTTTCGGACAGTTCGGATGAGGAGAATGCCAATGCTACACTACTGATACAGCGCAGTGCGCGCGGCCAGATGCTGGCAGCTAGCCTGGGTCCGGGAGTGCGCAACAAGCCGCGTTTTCTGCATCACAAATCGAAGATGCACCGACTGCGTAACTCGCCCCAAAAGAAGCCACCAGAGTCAGTAGAGGCTGCGGCTGCTGTGGTTTTACCGGCCTTGCCGGATCATGCCACCTTGCGTCCAGTGCTAGAAGATGCGCCGTTGGCCCATCTCGGAAAGGTGGCGGATGTGGCCAATGTTAGCGCCATGGTGCGCGCAGTGGGCAGCGCTGCTCTGGAATATCGTGTCATTGTTGGCTATCTTGGCACGATTGAGATGCCCAAGCAGATATCTCACAGCTCCAAGCTGCAAACGGTGCGTTCTTGCATACGAAAGCTGCGCCAGGAGAAGCGACAACCCACCATTGTGCTCATGAGCATCACTCCGGACTCTTTGCGCTTGCAGAGCGCGAGTGGTGGCACACTGGCCACCTATGCCTCGGCACGACTAAACTACGTCAGCTCCTCGTCCGAGAGCGAGAATCGTTTCTTTGGGCTGGTGACCAGTGCCGTGCATAACATGCAAATCGATGAGGAATACGAACTTGAGGACAAACCAAATGCCAGCGGCGGCCACATCAGCATATCGCACAGCTGCCATGTCTTTGTCATTGATACCAAGCTGATTGAGCATGGCCAGCATGTGGCACGTGCCCACGAGTATCGCTTGCAATGTACTAGGGATCCCATTTCGAACCTTTGCCTGGAGTTTCCCAATAACTCGGAGTATGTGGTGAATCTTATACGCAGCATGTACACCATGCGCATACTGCCACCTGCCAGTCGCAGCCAACAGCCGCCGGATTATGAGGCGGGAGCTCCTGCCGGCGCCGCCCACTCACCACAGCCCTCCAATCACAGCGAGATTTCCACAACGACCTCCAACTCTGACTCGGGTATTGGCTTTAACAATGACTGCACTAACATATCCGATCGTATTTTGGTCGTGGACTTTGCCGGCGCTCCGGCAGCAGCTGTTCTGGGCCTAGCACCCATGGCTCCAGCTGCAGCGCGTCCACAGGGTATTGTGGGTGTGCCCGATAATCGGTTGACGGTGCGCGCCATGCCCGATCCTGATCCCAAATCGCCGTCCGCATCGTGCTCTTTGCGTCGCCCTAATTTGTTGGCTAGCTTCAATCTGATCAAAAGTCCGGCCACAAATCTTACGGCCACGCGCTCTTGCGATGATGTGCTCAATCTCCTGGTGGATGATCAGCCGGTCCTAGCTGCTGTCGCCTCCATGGATGACATTTCACTGCACTCTACCGCTGCCTCGCAGGATGAGCCGCACATGTTTGTGCACCCAGCCTGCGTGCCGCGCAAGATGCGTCGCTCCATGCAGCCACCGCCGACAGCATCCGAACCAACACCATCTAAGCTTAGCGCCCAAGTCTTTGGCAAGCCGCGTTCGCGACAATCGTTGGGCTTTGAGGCTATCGATAGCATCCAGTCGCCTGGTCTTAACTGCCCTGATCAGCCCATGGACACCTGGAGCAGTCTCCAGAACATACACAAATTAACGCAAGCAAATCCAATAACGGGTCTACCATCATCATCATCCACACATTGCCTACTAGAAGCTACCAACAGTGAACCAGATCTGGGGGTAAGTGCACGCATTTCTATACATTTTTGTGTAAGAACTATATATAATATATAGACAATTCTGAACAAATGTGAATGACTCTCAAGTTTCCAATTTGATTTAATAATACATGTAAATTTCAATACCTTAAGAGCGAGCTTTGACGCGAGCTATCGAACTTCTCTCACATTTATTTTCAAAATCTTTTTGAACGTATTTAAAACGAAAATCGAGAAAAAATTTTGAGAGACAAGATTTATTTATTTTATTTATCATTTTATGATCAAGGAATGAATCTCCTCGCAACTCCCCAGTATTCTTTACAATCTTAGCTTTTTATTATAATTTTTTAAATACTTTTTGTGTGACCTACTTTTTGTCTATACTTTTTTTTTGTTGATAATTTTTCAATTAAAAATGTTAGTTAAATTTATGGAGCTTTTGCCCTGGAACCGGCACTGAAGTTAGATAGCTTTGTTTACCTGGACAACGATGGCTTGTTACCTGAACTTATCGCGCCGCTGTCTTTCGCTCTCCCTCTTTTTCTGACTCTCTCTCGCCTCTATCTCTGTCTCTGTCATTCGCGCGATAAGCCACCGCAGCACACATATTTGGATATATAGCAGTGTATCCTAGTGTTGGTGCTTGTGACTTTGCTGTGTCAGAAATGGAACTGGGCTGGGCTTTGGGTTGGGGCGTTGGGGGTATTGGTGACCAGCGAGTGCTAGGCTGCTGCTCTTGTTCAGTAGTCGTAACGACGCTTCTGCAATAGGTTTATTTGGCCGCGTTCCGTTGCTGCTCTCGCGGTGCTGTAATCAGCGTTCGCGTCACGTCTTGATAAGGAACGGAAATTGTCGACCTGGGTTGGTCACTAAAAATAAAGCGCCAGTGACGTCATGCGCGTATCTCGCCAGCTCAGGCTCATGCGAGTGTTAACTGTGGCGACCACGACCACGTCCACGTCCACGTCGGCGTCGCAGTCGCAGTCGCTGCTTTGTGCCCCGCTTAATTCAATCTAAAGCAATTAATGGGAAAATAACGAAAAACTCGCCATTTGGCGACGACGTTTGCTGACCTTTAGATTGGCGCTCGACGTTTCGCGTTCGTCGTTCGACGCTCGGCATTCAGCTGCCTCCTGACCCCTTTGTCGCGCCCGTGGACCCCCCCTCGACTACGTTCCTGGGATTTCGTTTGATTTTTGATTCGAGAACACGCGATTAAATTTGTTCTTTTCTCTTTCGTTTTTTGTTTTTTTTTTTACAATCGACTTTTCACTTTCGCTGCGCTGTTCATTTTCAACTGTCGCTCAGCGGTTTCTTACGCGAATTGTTTTCGTTATTGTGAACATGTCTTATATCTCTTAATAAAAACGAGAAAAATATATTTAAAAAAAAACAAGAATTGTGCCATAAAAAGCTCAACGCAAGTTCAAGAGCTCAGCGAACTTTACAAAATATTTATACTTATATTATATATATGTATAAATAAATAAATTATCATTAAGTGCGCAAAAAAAGTGAAGCGAGCAAAAACGGAATCAAGTAAAAAGCATTGAGATCCCCATTGCGAGTGTTTTGGATTTTGGGATTTACGCATAATGTAAAAATGTCATTCCGAGGACTCGTTTGTGGCTTCCATTCGGAGGAGAATGCGGTAAGTGAAATGCATATTAGTTTTTACAGGGTATATAGCATGCAATGACCCCTCTAAATGTCATGACCGCTGTGTAACCGGTTACTTGTGTAATTATAAACCAAATACGAACACACACACGTAAGCAGCTTGTGGTATCTACCCAAGCATATTATTATATTTTAACTGTCTGAACTGAAATTAGAACATGAAAAGCGGAGTCGACACACTTAGCTAACTTTCCATGGTTGCCCGACTATTGTCAACCCCTTACATTATGTGTCCGCCTCCCCATCGGATCTCTGCGTAGTCAGCGATATCATTTTCTGATTACTCAATTCGTGTTAAGTTCTGTCGACGCTGTTGAGTTCTTCGCGGCACAAATACCACCTGCCTTACCTGAGGTTAACTACTGCTACTCAATACAAATACCTATATACACATTGACAATTGTTGATATTATTACTCAGTCACTTAGCAAAGGCGATGATATAAGCCCATTTCGAAGTATTATACAATCATATTATAAGCATTAGAGGTTTGTCTTCAAAGTGTAGATATTGTTATTTGACAAGGAAATGGCATATTATTATAACTATTATAAGCATAAATATGTTGTGAATTGAAGATTTAGGAACATCTATTTTTGTATAATCTTAATTTCTTCGATACATATGTAGATTCCCGTTAGGTATACACAGATTTTGCATTGTTTCATTTTTAGATGTCCGACAGCCTCCTCTCTTGTATTTACCAATTTGTTGTAGCTCAACAACTAATGGAAACCTAAAGAAAGCTAAAAATCATGAGTTGTTCTTGGTCCACTTGTAAATCCATTAATTGGAAAATAAACTTTAAGCGCGTTTTATTAATACCATGACTGTTCAGATTAGTCAGGTAGACGGTTCTAATTAAAGTATTGCCTGTGGTTAGAGGCATGCAAAAAAGAAACAACAAATATAAATAAATAAGACCGCAAATTAAATCTTGTTCCAATTATACTAAAAATATCATCTGAGAGGTTTGATATATTTTCAAGGATCTTTGGAATAAATAATTTGAACTACGCCCATTTGCCTTAGTTTTTCGACAGTTAGCATTTTTTAAATGTGTTTTCATGCTCAGCTGCATACATTACTTATTGTAGTAGACCCGCTTTCTCTAAGTGTATTTTCATTTGTGCATGCACGCAATCCGCTAGACAAACTATTCCCAACAGGTTGCTAAATGCCACCTTTTTGGCGGCAAGTTGCAACAGGGCACATGCCGTTGCAGGTGTCTGAAAACCTGAAACAACCCTCGTGCCACAAAAGGAGGCAAGCAGCAGCAACAGCAGACATTAGCGTTGTCAGCTGGCTTGCAAAGGCACTTGCCGCAGTTTCTTTGGTTGGTTCCTTCCGCTCGACTAGCTTCCAGCTCGCCGACGTCATGGGAAATGCACTTCTCACTGGAAATCATTCAACTTCGGGTTGCAGGTTTCTAGTTTCAGCTGTGCCGCGGTCTCTTAGTGAGTTCGGTAAGCCACCGATTGACCTTTCCAGCGGTGGCCATCAACGTCTCGTAACGTATTTGCCAGCTGACGTGGGAATTGGAAGCCAATGCAATGTGCCGCACTTTGCATGTGATTATGCACGTATATTGCTGCGACACACGGCTATCTATTGTCGATATGACAAGAATGTAATGCATTATGTTATTTTCTGTCCATATCTGCGTGCTAAGTTCTAGCTAAACAGACGCCTGCTGCTGATTAGCTTATCGGCCGCACGGGCCAGCCAGAGGCCAAGCACACATAATTTATTAATAAAAATGTCTCTTTTTAAATTTAGACAATTTAATATATATAAATAATATAAATATGTGAATATATATACATGCATTAATAATAAATATGCTATGCTAGCAGGCAATCTATACTATGACTAAGACTCCCTGCAAGTTCGTGAGATGTGTTATCAAAGCTTTGTTAAACAGGCAAATCATTCAAGAAAACAAAAATATATATTTATATTTATATTTGACGAAAACAAACTAAGATTTAGCAACTATATATATAAGAAATTCATGAACGAAATACATTCTGTGTTGTCTTTATTTCTTATTTAGATTATTTTACATTTATAGCAAAGAAATGATAGGCTATTTAAATTAAATTGACTCGAAATATACTAAATTATATACATTAAATAATTTGCATTAAATTGCATCGCCTACTAAATAAACATTACATAACTAAAGATTCTGAAGAGGATTTTTGCCATTTCATTTGAAAACTTCGAAATTCTTTTCGAAATTTGTTGATTTGATTTGAATTTAAACTTTTTATTATTCAATTGTTTTAAACACTGTTTTTAATATAGCATCTTAAAAAGTTCCCCTTCAATTGCGCCCACAAACATGAATTAATCAATATATACAAAAGATTAAAATATTTTTTTCGAATTTAAAGAAATTGAATTTTCACTTAGGCAGCTTATTTGTATTTAGAAAAGTTATAATAAAATTCTATTTTTAACCATGGCGGGTCAGAGACTGCCACAATCTGCAATTACTTAACATAATGTTAACATTCAAATAACATTGCTGTTAACTGCGTTGAAAGGTTGCCGGAAGAATGTCGCCAGAGTACTTAAAGCTTTTATTTTATAAACTGTTTTCGATACAAGCTGCTTCGGCACATGCATACATATTTATATACTTGCATACAGATATACCCTATATATAGCTGATATGCTTGTTAGCTACACTCTCTACAATTTGTGGAATTAAATTACTGAAAGCTGACAGCGAGCGCAGAATAAAAAATACACACCTGACTCTGGCTTTGTGCCCTCGATATCAGGTGCCCAGTGACTAACTGGCGGCAACATTACAATAACAACAACAACATTGAGAATGACAGCAGCTACAACAAAAACAACAACAACAACAACAACAGAGACAACGACAACATTCCCCTTCAACCACGAATAAACAACAAATAAAAACGCGCGCACGCGCTCTTTTTCCACTGCGACGCTCAACAGCTGCTGCCGTCGTTGTTGTTGTTACTACTGCTGCTGCTGCTGCTACTATTACTGAGCCAAGTTAACAACTGGCAAACGCGAACAGCTCTCACAACGCGTGAGTCAGTCTTCAAGCGCAGCTCGTACGTAACGCATGAACAAAAATAAAACAATTCAAAAACTTTTAGTCAAACGAGTCGATCACAACATCTATATAAATAAAAGTGTGCAATTAAATGAATCAAGAGACTTACAAATTAATATTCGAGCCGTGCTAATTACTGTTGCCGCGCCGCAATTTTGTGCATGTGGCCAAAACCAAACGCATTTCTAAATTTGCACCTTGGCGCTTGTTCTATGCGCTAAAAATAAAACGAGAAAAGG